GCAATGCCTGTTCATTCTGGCGAAGTAAAATAAAATATACCAACCAACCAACCATGTACTACATACTAGTAACTTCTGTACCAAGAGTTCTTTGAGTACAAAACCAGCTTTACTTCATCGATCAGACACGGAAAATACACCATGTGCTTTGGAATGCGGCAAGTCTATTCATGAACCGTGTACGAACATGACATACATGTACATGTACATGTACATCCTGTTGTGGTGAAGGCCTCTTTTACGGGCAAAGCAAAGCACAATCATCACCATGTATCAGTACAGTGAGTAGTTAAACCCAACACGAATGAAAAATGTGAAATGGACTAAAAACAATATTTGTAAAGCAATAAATAAATTAAAATTAAAATTCAATATCGAACACGAATAAAATAAAATAAAAATATGTAAAAAATAAACAATATCGAACACGGAATTAATTCCGGAACTATCTACTCAACCAATTCATAATGCAATACCCGCACACTGTGTCAGTGATGGAACTCCGCTACCCGATCAACATGCAGAGACCACTCAATCACATGCTTAGAAGCCGCTCTCCACAATGGCCAACTCCCTCATCGCATTAACTGGACGATGGTAGGCCGAACGTGCACCGCGAATGCACATTATGGCTGCCCTGAGCAAAGCGAAGGACAAGCGACACCGCACATAGGCCATTAGCTGGGCATACGGTCGATCGGCAGTTGCCAGCAATGCACACAACCGCTTAATGAATGCAGTACACTCCGGAGCACAACAACCCGCCGTGGTAAAGACTAGAGGGGTAAATGAACCACGGTCGACATTGTTGATACGCTCGGCATACTCACTCTTCTTGCGGCGCTCATGTTGCTTCAGAAGATCACTGACGGGCTTGCTCTTGTATGATGCTGCATCCGGGTGGAAGACCCGGACATCGAAGAACGCATTCTGAGCCCGGGTCCAGAACCCACGAGCTCGGACATCAGCTCGGGCGTCGTTCGCGGTGTTTGTTGATGCCGATAAAAACACCTCGCCTGTGATCGGAGCAAGTACAGGCTCGACTGCCACATCTGAGCATACCTCCGTCAGAAGATCCGCCACGATATCTCTTACTTCATTGTGGCGAATTGTCGGGAAACCTCCGCGGGGGCAAATCATCGCATGCGTGGCGTCGAACGGCTCCCCACACACACAGCTCGCTGGTGTGTCCAAGAGAGACCAACCATAGCGGAGAGCTAGAGCGTCGCGGAAGTCTCCCTTGGACAGATGGTGACCATGGTCTGCCAGAGGCAATACCCCGAGCCAACTCGACACGCCTTTCGTGGATAAACTCTCCAGCCGACGAGCCAGGGCAGGGGACGCACTGCTCTTGATCGTGACGAAATCATTCTGCTCCCTCTGACGACGGTCATGCGCTAGCCGTGTCTTCTCGCTTAGGGCTGCCTGGCGAACATCCTCCGTGGAGTTATGGGTGTATTGATCATTCTGGTGTACAATCTCCTCCACCTGAAGGGCCGTTACAGCTCTGCCGTACCCATTTGCTGAAAACACGGCAGGGCCATCCCCCCCAGTCGACAGGGCAGGCGGAGAAGGTTCAATTCCTCTGGTAGGAAGGAATCACGGCCCGCTAGAGCAGGTAGAAGCTCCTCCGTGATCACCTTGTCAAGGTCGGTAAGGCATTGTGCAGGGAAAGGTACTGTACGCAATAGGTAGGTCCACCTACCACGTAAACCATGAGATATTGCAGCATAGGCAGCATGTGGCTCCGTTTTTGCAATCTCTGTAAGCTTCTTCAGCTCTTCCTTCCACTTCGCCACCCGTTGCTGCACACTTTCCGCGACCGCCTCTCCCCCTCCGATCCAATCTCGGAGCCGAGATAACGCAAGCTCCCCGTGACAATCCGGATCCCTGTCCCGGCAAACACTTGGCGTGCTTCCTGCTCCAGCTCCGGCTTGACAAGGAGCTGGGTCTTTTCGGAGTTCGTGAAGTATCCGTATCGCCGTCCAATTGCCTGCAGCTCATCCCACCACAACCGGATCTGTCTCAGCCTACCTGCTCCGCTGGAATCATCCGCATACCAGCTCTGCCGGACTGATGTGTGCTGCTCCTGGAGACGAGTGATGATCGGTATGGTGGCAACTGCGTAAAAGGCCATGGAGAGGGGGTCGCCCTGAGTGGTTCCCTCACTCGACTTGACTTCCCCTCCACCTGCAACAAATAAACGTGCAGCCGTTTGATAGGAGTTCATGATGACGCTGGAGAGGGCAGGACATAGCCGCTGGACATTGTGTAGCGCCGCTTCTCTGTTCAAGCTGTTAAATGCATTGCGAGCATCCACCAACAGCACTCCATCTGTCTCCTCGTCATTGTAAATCTGCTGCACCGCATGCACGGCCGCTCTATTCCAGCTGGTTGGCCCGCACACTTCTGGATAAATCCGCAGGCTTTCTCAATATCCGGGGCTGCGACACGAAGTACCGCCTTAGCAACAATGCGCCTCAGCACCTCGCCAACCCCGATTGGGCGGACCCCAGGCTTCTTGTCCAGTGCAATTAGCCGACCAGCAAGAAATGGAATGAGGCCCTCCGATGGTATGACACGGGTCGCAAGCAAGCGGGCGCAATCAGCCATTGCTTCGCAAAGGCGTGTTGAGGCTCCTTTGAACGCCAAACACATGCGGCGCCAGGCAGCAGCATCCAGTACATCCTGTGATACTGAGGAGAGTGAGGTTGCAGCTAGGCTATAATTATTATTATCATAATGAACAAAGCGTTACTTCTAGACGTAAACATTATTACATGTATATGTACATGTATGATGATTCAGAGATGTGATAGGTGTTGGAAAGACGCCCCACAACCAGTCATACTTGGAAGCGTGTTTTTATTGACCACATAAAAATAATATGATGATGCAAAGAAAGAAAAGGACACCAGAAACATGATGCTGGATTTGAAAGAAGAAGAGAAAAAGGAAGAAGAAAAGAAACCCGACCAAGGGAACTCAAGCATTGCACCCAGGACCAGGACGGGCCAGGAGGCAAAAATGAACTCAATCCCTAGCATCGGCTCAATGAGGTCGCGTAAAGCGGCGTAATTGTACAAATTTCAAAAGGATCCAAGTAAAACTTCAACAAACCTCCCACCAACACAAAATGGCAACCAGAAACCATACGAGAGAAATGACTTCATTACAAAGCAACAGCGAAAATAGAATAACAGCACAGTCTAGTCTAGTCAACAACAAAACAAAACAAAAAATGCTAGTACATGTACATGACTGTACATAATTATTATTGTTACAGATTGACAGCATGAAACAAGGTTATAAATAATACTAGTACTAGTGTACCATGACTGTACGTGTACGAAGTGTCCGATATTTTGGCGCTTCACGGCCTCAACCATGGCGCTATCATATCGATGAGTGATGGACCTACATAAGTCATTGTAACTGCCCTTGAAAAATCCACACGGAGACCAGAGCATTGCTCTATCGTCTGTTGGTCATCGCCTCGCCTTGCCTCGTACAAAGTGGTTTCTCTTTCCTGCTTGTTTCTTCAAGCTTGCAAACAGTAACTGACCCTAGCAAAGGTGTCAAGTCGTTTATCAGGTGATTTGTCACATCATTAGTTTTGTGAACAAACAACACTCAACAGGCCTTTATACAATGCATGTAGATCTACAGTCGTGTAGGCCGTGGCCGCGTGGGTGTCTCTGATCGCGCTGGTTTCGAATCCACAACAAGTTGCTTCGAGAGCACTGGACGATCTACGCCACCACAAGCCCACGCCCAAATAATAGAAACATGGGTCAAGTGCAAACACATGCGGTACTTGTTTGTAACACCTCCCCTTGGGATGGGATAATGAAGGCCAACAAACTTCTCGCCCTAACTATTACTTTCCGAAATGTCTAGATAGATCAGCGCCTGTTGCGAGCGTCTGGTTCCGAGGAAACCCGCCATGGTGAAGAATGACAGCAATGAGATCAGACATAGATTTACAATTTTTACATTGTAGACCTACGTGTCCACAACCCAGATCGGGCCATGGGGTCAGAAGTCGCGAGGGCAACAAGCAGCATGCAGTGAGCTGCCCAGTCTCCATCCCCGTCTCCGATACGTAGTCTTCACGATTGACGGCTGCCCCTATACCATGCTATACTAGTACTAATAGCAAGAGTCCATAAACTCTTGGTAATAGTACTAATAGTAATACTTGCACGGCATCACGACACCATGGACACGGACTAACACAATGGAGTGTGCATTCCCTTGTCGACATGTCTACCTCCGCGAGTTGATCTACATGATTTGTAACTGTGACGAGGACAGGAAACGGCGATTGTTCTGTTGACAAAGACCAATGCCCGTCTGCCTGTGCCTGTGGCGTGCGCATGTGAAGCATCCTCTGTACAAACGCTCCTCTAGCTGGCCCCAACACCGGGCCCGGTCGTGGCAAACTTCACATTCCTGCCAGTGGCGCAGGAAAGGGGCACAAGACCTTCTCTTCTTCTTACGACAACTACCGAGTAGCAATGGTTACAACATGACAATTGTTATGTACGTGTGTATGCAGCAGTGGCATGGCCCTGTTCTGTGCCTAAGAAAACGGCTCAGGAACTGTTGAACTACGACGCTCGGTAGTCCACATCCACTCCACCACCGCACATGTGAATGATTTCTAGCCTTTGCAGTTCTGCAATCACACACAGACACATCGTTCACCTGGGCTGGAGTTGACTTGGCAGCAGCCATTGCAAGCAGCAGGGCGATGATCTGATCAAGCAGGACGAGGAACTGAGAACAACTTCAAGCTTTAATTGTTCGGGTAGAACGATACAATGCTACATGTAGTTCCATGCGTGCATTCCACTCGTGTTGCGGACAACTTAATTCTTATGCTTGTGTTGTAGGGTCCGTAGATCTACCTGCTGATCAGCTAAAACTGCACGTTTTCACCGTAGTAAGAACATTCCATTTCTACGCAGTGGAGATCTAGAGCCGCTCGGCGTGCATTGTACCGTTGATTGGGAATGTCATGTTAGTACCGTGTTTTGTGACATTCCTCTTTTAGCTGACCCAAAGCTGTTGGGAGTGTCGCTCGCGTGCTCAGTGGTACCTCTGTAACTCGCTTTCTCCTACTCTAGCTGGACCACCAGGTCTACTCCTGCAGCTCCGCGGCGTGATAGCAAACACGGGAGAGAGAGAGAGAAAGAGAGTACCTCTTCCGTAGCACTGCCTTCAGGCGAGAACCTAGCACCACGACAAGGTGACAAGAGCGATACCACCTTGCAGCAGTTTGTAGCTAACTAACTAACTTTTTGTTACTTCTTGGCGTTCCTTGTGTGAAGGTGTGACCAGGCAAGCTGCGTACTAGTACACGGGTGATACCTAGGCTATGGCCTAGCGCACCTCATACTAGAATCCTCTTCTCTCTTCGGACAGCTGACGTGTGCGTCTTCGGTATCAACCTCGTCGTTCGCATCGACACCCAGCTGCACAGGCTCAAACTTCTTCAGTGTGACATGATCTGTTCGGCCGATGATCGTCTAGTGACCATCCGATACGCGTTACCAACAATCAGGTATTGGAGACTGGAGTGACGGCAGGAACGCAGTTCGACCCTGCTATGCTTGCCATCGCATTGAGCTGGCGTACAAGATCCCTTCGCGACCCCAATGTCACACGCTGAGTGAGCGAGTGATAGGAGTACAGACGGACGGCCCAGTCTCCCCCTCTGGCTGAAATACACCAAAACTGACTTTGACTGTCTTTCGAGTCTCGGAGAGGTGTCTCTGTCACTTGTGTGTGTGACCAAAATGAGTGTAGAGCACGCAATTATGTATCAATCCGGATAATGCCCATCGGGAACTGATTGTGATAAGCGATTACGTTACATAATCACGTCTGCTGCAGGGAACGTCGACGGAGTCGAAACGACCGAACTGTTGGTCTCACTTAGTACTTGCGTCTTTCTCCGCCGAGCAGGAAAACGAACTCGTCGCTTTGCTGCGCTGTGACTAGATTACAGACGATTATTTTAGTTGTACTGAACGGCGAAGTAATCTTTCACTGACTTCAGTTCTGACAGCAAGGTGGGTATACTGCCTGGCCGCTCTCTACCACTTCCCGGCTGACTCGGTGTCACCACAGAACCGCTCATAAGCTTCCAGGTTGGGAACTCTGATGCAAACCCCACTTTCGCTGCCTTTTTTTAGTTTATTGAGTCTGACTTGCCGGGCAGCGGACCTATCTTCAGTCAGTTCAGACTTCAGCCTAGCTGTCACCCACCAAGCTCCTGGGGGGGGACTGGAATGAGAGAGGACACAGTGCCAGAGACCACGAATTGAACGTCACTGCCGACACGATTCGACGTCAGATGTGGAACCGATGACTGGCGGACTGTGATGACCTCTGCTCGCACAGAATCACTCCGACTCTGGTCGTGATTCGAACTGAACTGGGGTGCGCTCGACCTACTGACTGTCAGTGTCACAGACTCAGTGTCAGCGAAGTGCGTACATCCATCTGCTACAACAGACTCCGGATCATTGGTACACTCTCTAGCAAGCGGTGGCAGCTGGCCGAGCGACTCTCGTGATTGATACTGCCTAGCTCGAAGCACGTGCCCGACATGACAGGATTGTTGACAAATCAGTACTAAGTATTAGCATTGGATCGACGACGCGTCCGTGTCGCTCCCAGAATCCTGAAATACGGAACGCATCGTTGCCGTCCATCTCGGCCCGTCGACTCCCGCAGTGACCGTCCTAGCTGTGCTGGCGGGTGTCTCCTGATTTCATGTATCTGCACTCCGCGCCACGCGCTGTGAAGAATAAAAATAGGGAGCGGTGCAGAATTAATGACTATATGTTCGATTTCTAGTTTTGATTGGCGAAGGAGATGAGGGCAGAAAGGTCATCGCAATGCGTGATGTACATCCAGTTCATCGTCCTGCATTTGTCTGCTACTCCGTAGCATTGCTGCTGTGCTGTTCGACTTGCTTGTACGACCTGCGCCTTGTGTGCGTTGCCGCTGGTCAGGACCTCACGAATCAAACCGACACGACGGACAATGGAGTCCCGGTGACAACATCTAGTGATGCCGGTAACGCATCGGCTGCACCGGTGTCCTCATTATCCGAGGATGTCGCAGCTGCAATCGTGAATGTTACCACGTTACGCAATCGGCTGAAACGCTCTCAGCTCGTATTGAAGAACATCACCGAGGCGTTGCGGCTGAATCAGGACGGAGACAGTAAAAAATGCACTCCAGCTCCGCCTTTGAACATTAGCTACGCAGTATACCGGTACCAGAAGCAGGCAGGCAAACAGGCGGTGGCCAATTCCATATTTCTGTCCAACCTTTGGGCTCGGCAAGCCAACCCAGCTGGTGCATGCAGCAAGGTTGAACCAGGCACATGTGGACGTACTACTGTTGGTGGTAGCAGTGATCCTAGTGTATACGCCGACCAGCTAGTCGTGTTCGAGCGCTTGCGGACGTCTACGCTGTCTGATACGAACATCTTTGCAACCGGCGGCTGCTTCGGTGCACCCATAATGTCCTTGTCCTGCAACCTCACTTGTGTATATGCGAGTCGTAACGTTACGTATGCGCAGGTGAAGAAGAATTCCTCACTGGCAGACAAGTATGGTAAAAGTAGTTTGGATGAGTTCAGCCAAGTCATCATCGACGAGTACATCGGCAATGAGCCAGAATGGTTCTACGGGCCAAGAAACAGATTCAACAAAGCCATAGCTGATAATCGAAGTGAGGAGTTCAGGTACCGCCGTTTGCCAGCCTCCCTGGGCTGGTCACCAGCAGTGGGTGAAGACAGTGTATGGGACACCCGTGTTACGTACGAGCACGGCTACTGGACGCGGCCATACTTTGATTGCAAAATCAGCTTTGTGTGGATGATTTCGTTCATGATGCCCATCGTGATACCAACCACGCCATCATCACACAGCACAGCAGTGGTGTCGCAGGGTACTGGAAGTGAGTTAAATTCTACAGCAACGACAAGTGACGTTCAGTTCATGGGTGTGACCGGCGTGGATATTGAACTCGGCAAGGTGGACATCAACCAGTGCCTGGAAAAGAACACCCATGGCCAGGTGTTCTCTGATGACCTTACCAACACTCACCTATGCCCATCTAGCACTGACTGTGTATTCGTCAGTGGTGGTGGCTTCACAAGCGGCTCGTACAGATGTCGCTGCAAAGACAACTACTACTACGATGCCTCGGGCTCGGCACAACCGTACGTGAACGGGTACAGTGGGTCGGATATCGACGCGTTTGTCCTGAGCCTAGCCGAGGGCAGGTGCAATGAGACCGGCATCGACGCCCTGGACTGTCTTGCCGCCACCATCACGCGAGCGTTCTCGTGCAAGCAGTGCCACCAGTCCTGCCAGACCTGCAACGACAGCAGCCGCTGCCTGTACGAGAACAACCAGGCCATGGTCATCTCCATGTCCGTTCTCAACCTCGCCGGCGTCGTCATGGCGATTGTCTTTGCGGTCGTCATCATCGTCTGTCGCAAGCGCAAGGTCATCAAGGCGGCCAGCTGGCCATTCCTGGTCACAGCGCTGGTCGGTGCCATGCTAATGTTCGGTCCAGGCATCAAGCGGCCGTACGTCTCGGTGAGCATACAAAAGCTCCGCTGCAAGCTGGACGTTGTGCTGGAGACGGCGGGCTTCTCGCTGCTCTACGGCTCCATATTCATCAAGATCTGGCGCATTCAGCAGCTCATCTCGCCGAAATTTCTCAAGAAGACTCTTGTGCGTGGACAGAACCTGGACGGCCGTGCAATCGCTCGTCGCCTTCTGCTGCTTCTCGTTCTGACGGTGCTGTTCCTTGTGCTGTGGATGTTAGCCATGCCACCCGAGTTGTCCTTTAAGGAAGTTCCTGGTGATCTGAACTACTACCAGTGCAACAAAGGGCCTTTCGGCTATGCTTCGTTTGGAGGTAAGCAGCGGGGAAAGTGCCTGAGTGGTGACTTGACGATGCCATGGGCTGGGGGAGTTTGCCGTCACCAAGTGCTTCTGCTGTGTTCTGTGCACATGCTGAATGTTGTGCTATCTTTTCACACACATCAGCCAGTTAGCCCGTACGCATATACGCAGGCCAGCAACTTATCGATTCCACAGACAACTGGCAATATCCTGGCTGTTTTGTCCTGGGCAAGATGTATACATGGCAGATTCACATAAATAAAATCAATATTCAGAAGCCCCTTCTGCCCCCCCCCCCCCCCCCCCGCACACACATTTCCCGTAGCAACTGCTGTGAGTAGATCTAGGATCTTTGACTAGGTGTGTTTGTGTGTGTGTGTGCATGTGCATTGCTTTTCTCGTCTTCCTGTTTTTCTGCTACAGTTCAGCTTGGCTTGATGCTCTGGGGTGCGTACCTGTGCCAGCGTACCAGGAACGTTGCCGCCAAATTCACCGACAGCCGCGAACTCACCATTTCCATCTACATGTTCATAGCCGTCGTTTCACTGGCAAAGACCCTCGAGTATGCACTGCTAACAGGCCATGCAGACGAGGAGCAGCTGCTCTACACGCTGCGAGTGCAGATCACCGTCACCGTCACCGCCCTGATCATCTTCGTGCCCAAGGCGCGCGAGATCTACCACTCGTCGCTGTTCTACAAGCGGCGCGTCTTCAGGCGTGACTCGTCGCGCAATCGCCGCACCGGCCGCATGTCCCAGGTGTCGATCGGCTCTGTCGACCGAGGCCGCTCGTTGCATCGCGCCTCGATCCTCAGCCGAACGCGCAGTGATGTACTGAGCGCGCCGCTGGAGAAACGAGTGTCCAAAACAACCGTCAATGTGCCCGACAGTCTGCCGGTGAGCAACGGAACCCACAGGTTTATTCAAAGAACTAGCTCTATAGCGTCACCCAACTCTCTATTTGCATCCCAAGTTGTCGAGGCTGATGAAGCCAATTTGTAGCTAGTTCAACCAGAAAAATAGCTTTAAATGTGTCTCAGATATTTTCGCAGAGACCTTGAGAAAGTTGAGCAGCAAGCTGACACAGATATATAATTATATCTCTTCATCTGTTGATTCGCGAATAGAGATATCCGTGTGATTGGCTTCTCCATTTTTTGTGTGTCGGCTTTCCTTGCACCCACACTTTCTCCTGTATGCCTGGAGAAAACAGTGCCAAATTTATGTGTAGCAAATTTCCAATCAAAGTAGATCTATTATGTGGCTATTTCTGCTTGTACGTCCAAGCAACCATTTACTAGATTTCTATTCAACTGTTAGACTGGCATGCACCGCCTGATGACATTATTATAGCTGGTGCATCAAGGCTTGATCATTACACACCTACTTGACAATATCTGACTTGTTTTCCTTGCACGCATGAGCTGAAGAGAAGAGATCCAGTTGTACTGCGTTGTAACTTGATGGTTTATGCCCAATTTGAATACAAGCCTGATTTTCAAGATGGACTGTCGGTGCTTGCCATAGGCCTGGTTTTAGTGTTGACACACATGGAAATACTCGATTGAATACCATGCATGATATACATAGAAGCCTAGCACTGAAATCAGCTTCTACAGGAAAATGCCCTGCCTTTTTAGAGAGGGCACTACAGTAATTGCGTTTGTCAGTGCATGTACTTCCTGTCAGAACACAGAGGTTTCTGTTTTGTTTGCAGATTTACACTCAGTCACTGGCATGAATAAATTGTGTTCCCACCGTGTAAAGTAACTACTATCTGTTATCGCCCTCTTTTAAGAGGGCCGATAACAGAGTTGTGTTCATCACTGTTGAGGCTTCCGATGGAAAATAAAAGAATACTACTACCACCTCTGGTCGCTTCCTGCGTAGCTACATTGGTGATCCAGGGGGAGTCTCTTCCTTTGTCTGTAGCAGAGAGAGTGATTGGGTTGATGGTGTCCACTGTCTTGCCAAGGCAGCAAAGACGTACCCGCAGTCAGCACACTCCGCGTTCACGAGATCCCTCTCGTGCATGCGCGAGTGGACCTACCTCCCGCGGGTGTTGGAAGGCAACGAGACCGAACCAGTGTCTGCTCCAGCGCCGGGTGAGCCGGGTAATCCACCCGGTTGGGCGGCGCTTGGACCCGGTTGAAAATATAGTACCGGGTCACCTGTGACCCGGTTGGTACTTTACACTTTCGAACTTTGAAAGGATTGACTACATGGCTTGTATGTGTCAGATACTTCTTCTTCTTTCGTAATTTTCCAATTCCTGTCCTCTCTTTTCTAAATGCGGCTTATCCATTCGCCTTTATATCATTGGACCTAGTTCCCGTTTATTGTCCGAATTAAAATAAACCAACCAACCAGTTAAAGCATGTGACTCAGCTGGTGAGACAGCGCCAGTGTACCCGGCTCCGACCCGGTTGAAATGGTTGCGCCAGGTACACGTGTACCCGGCTGTCCTACAATCCTGGAGCAGACACTGTATACCCCCTGCGGGACACTATCCGGCACGTATTCGCCCCCAGTTTGCTCGGTCGCGAGGTGCTTGACATTGAGCAAGATCTATTTTTTTGTAGCTGTTGGCGCCCTTCCAGCCAAAGTGGGGGGCCTCGGCCTGGCCAATCCCGTCACGTCAGCTCCTGATGCTCACGCCACATCGAAGCGCGCCACTGAGATTCTGCAGGTCGCCATTTGCACCGGTGCACCGGTCGACATGGCTCACCACATCAGCCAGTGCCGTCAAGTCACCAGCGAGGTCAGTCGCGCTCGAGACTGCGAATTCAAATAAAGTATACAAACAAACAGACCTGCAGATGATGGAACGTAGTAGAGTCCAGCCTCGAATGCCTCACTACAACGCAGCCTAGATGAGCTTCACGCCTGGGGCAAGAGATGGAAGATTGCGTTTGAGCCATCGAAATCGCAAACTATCACTCGATCTATCGCACCAGCGGAAGGATACAGCAACTCCCCAGCTGTCATTCGGCGGAACTCCTCTCCCACCAGATGAATCTGTGAAGGTGCTCGGAGTGACGTTTGATTCTAAACTGAGCCACAGACTCCACCTTCGGCAAGCTGCCTCACGTGCGAAGCAGCGGCTGGGCCTCCTGCGGAAGGCAGCACCCCTCCTCAGTCACGCGGGCAGGGTGACTGTCTACAAAGGATTCGTCCGGCCAATGCTGGAATATGCCCCCCTTGCGTGGATGGGATCAGCTCCCTCACATGTGCACACCTGGCCATGCTGGATGCTGTCCAGCTCCACGCCCTAAATGTCATTGGCCCTGGCCTGGTACCATCCTTCCCAGCCTCCTTGTTCGGCGAAAGGTCTCTGCTCTATGCCTACTGTACAAACTGATGTGTGGCCATGGTCTGCCTCAAGTTGCAGCCATGTGCCCCCCCCCCCCCCCCGCCGGCGATTCGCCGCACACGAGCAGCCCAAGCACAGCACCATCCCCACCAGCTTGAGCTGAACCTCTCGCCACGAGCTCCTGACTACCTTCTGCGCTCTTTCCCATACCGCATCGTGCCAGTGTGGAATAGACTGCCACATGCAGTTCTGGACAAGCAGCTAACCCGGAAACACCCGCAGAGCTTCAAGATAGCTGCATACCGTCACCTGCAACAGAATGACTGGTGCTCTGCTCATGACTGGTGCCAGCCATGCACATGTATCACACTGGCCTGCCATCAGTGGACGCAAATCATTATGTTGACCCTCTTCTAAAAGTAGCATTATAGTCATAGCGATAATATGCCGCTGAACTCTTTCTCTGTATACTCATATCTCTCCACCTCTTTCTCCCTCTTTCCCTCACTTACCTATCTCTCTCTCTCTCTCTCTCTCTCTCTCTCTCTCTCTCTCTCTCTCTCTCTCTCTCTCTCTCTCTCTCTCTCTCTCTCTCTCTCTCTCTCTCTCTCTCTCTCTCTCTCTCTCTCTCTCTCTCTCTCTCTCTCTCTCTCTCTCTCTCTCTCTCTCTCTCTCTCTCTCTCTCTCTCTCTCTCTCTCTCTCTCTCTCTCCGCCATTCCTCTCACCCCCCCCCCTCCCCCATGGTGCTTGCTGTGTACGCCGATCCCGAGACCCTTGGTCGGGGGAGTCCACTACATCTCACCAGCGCAGCTCATGTAGCGCCTACACACCCATTGTTGTCTTTTTGTTCTGTCTTCGTTTTGTCTCCCCTTCTTCCGTAGGTATGTGCAATGTGATAAAATAAATAAAAAAGTCCTCCGTGCTGCGCTTCCGCGTCGCCAACAGCGGACCCTCAACCGCATCGTTGATGGCAATGCTTCCGGCTGGTTGACCATGCTTCCTCTCAAGCAGGAAGGTTATGTCTTATGAGTCGAACTTATGACATGTCGGCGCCTCGGCGGTCCAGTTCCGCGATCAGTTGGCTATTCGCTATGGCCAGGAGGCGAATGCTCTCCCGTCGCATTGCGATGGCTGTGGAGCTGCTTTCTCCCTACAGCATGGTCTGGATTGCATGAAGGGTGGGCTCATCAAGCGCGGGCACAACGATGTCCGCGACTTCGATGCCCAGCTAGCTGGCAGACGTTGCCGCTGGGGATCGGGCCGGGAGGTGTGGCTGTCGAGCCGGTGATCATGTAATCATGCTACTACCTACTACTACATATACATGTACTACTACAATGTACAATACATGTACATACAGCAGGCACTAGGCAGACAGCATGGCCGTACAGCTCACAGAACCAGGGAGAACTAAAAAGCTCAGAGCGGAATCAGCTGTATTGGGGGCCGTCCGTAAATATCGATATTTTATTCAAGACGATATTTTGTTCATCTCTACCCTCGGGCCTCCCTCCTCCCTCCCCCCTCAATACGAACATACACATGTTTATGCAGGGGATCAATATTTTTTTAATGAAGTGCAATCTCCTCATGAAACGTGACCAGCTGCAACTCTAATTCACCATACACCTACAAAAATGTAGGTTTATGTTGCCACGGTCGCACAGCCTTGCCATGGCTGTGTTCATGTGTTCACGAGGTTGACTTTCACTTTGTGTAGACTACAGTGTAGGTCATAAACTACATGTTTTGCACAGTGCCCGCCCGTACCCGCCGTAGATAGAGTTCGATATTTTTTGTTACAAAGACGAGACGAACAGCGCCCAAACCCCCTCCCCCCCCCCCAAACGAACGAATATCTTCTCTAAAAAATATCGATATTTGTGGACGACCCCTTATTACTATTATTTGTATTACTCATTAATATTATTAGTGTGTGTGTTGGGGGGGGGGGGGGTGTATACTTCAACTACTGGGTGCATTTTTCTGTGGTATGTACATGCTATGACATGCACAGATAAATTAATGAACACAATCAAATGTACATTGTAGATCTAATCGGGAAATCGTCAAATACTTGACGACTCCCTTCTGTAGATGGATGCCATGACAGTTGCCGAGTCAATGCTACATAGCCATAGGCGGCACAATGCCCACTGCTTGCTAGCTGTACACAATAGAGCTGAATAACACTACAACATGTACTTGGTGCACATACTAGCAAGAGTACATAATCCCGGGGGTTATGATGTGTGTGTGTGTGTGTGTGTGTGTGTGTGTGTGTGTGTGTGTGTGTGTGTGTGTGTGTGTGTGTGTGTGTGTGTGTGTGTGTGTGTGTGTGTGTGTGTGTGTGTGTGTGTGTGTGTGTGTGTGTGTGTGTGTGTGTGTGTGTGTGTGTGTGTGTGTGTGTGTGTGTGTGTGTGTGTGTGTGTGTGTGTGTGTGTGTGTGTGTGTGTGTGTGTGTGTGTGTGTGTGTGTGTGTGTGTGTGTGTGTGTGTGTGTGTGTGTGTGTGTGTGTGTGTGTGTGTGTGTGTGTGTGTGTGTGTGTGTGTGTGTGTGTGTGTGTGTGTGTGTGTGTGTGTGTGTGTGTGTGTGTGTGTGTGTGTGTGTGTGTGTGTGTGTGTGTGTGTGTGTGTGTGTGTGTGTGTGTGTGTGTGTGTGTGTGTGTGTGTGTGTGTGTGTGTGTGTGTGTGTGTGTGTGTGTGTGTGTGTGTGTGTGTGTGTGTGTGTGTGTGTGTGTGTGTGTGTGTGTGTGTGTGTGTGTGTGTGTGTGTGTGTGTGTGTGTGTGTGTGTGTGTGTGTGTGTGTGTGTGTGTGTGTGTGTGTGTGTGTGTGTGTGTGTGTGTGTGTGTGTGTGTGTGTGTGTGTGTGTGTGTGTGTGTGTGTGTGTGTGTGTGTGTGTGTGTGTGTGTGTGTGTGTGTGTGTGTGTGTGTGTGTGTGTGTGTGTGTGTGTGTGTGTGTGTGTGTGTGTGTGTGTGTGTGTGTGTGTGTGTGTGTGTGTGTGTGTGTGTGTGTGTGTGTGTGTGTGTGTGTGTGTGTGTGTGTGTGTGTGTGTGTGTGTGTGTGTGTGTGTGTGTGTGTGTGTGTGTGTGTGTGTGTGTGTGTGTGTGTGTGTGTGTGTGTGTGTGTGTGTGTGTGTGTGTGTGTGTGTGTGTGTGTGTGTGTGTGTGTGTGTGTGTGTGTGTGTGTGTGTGTGTGTGTGTGTGTGTGTGTGTGTGTGTGTGTGTGTGTGTGTGTGTGTGTGTGTGTGTGTGTGTGTGTGTGTGTGTGTGTGTGTGTGTGTGTGTGTGTGTGTGTGTGTGTGTGTGTGTGTGTGTGTGTGTGTGTGTGTGTGTGTGTGTGTGTGTGTGTGTGTACTCTTGCTAGTACATGCAGTACAGTCAACTTCGCTTATAACGACACTCGGCGGGGCATCAGAAAAGTGTCCTTATTCGCGAAGTGTCGTTATACCCGAAGTCTCATTATATGTATTACATGTATACAGTTGGATGGGACTTCGCTCTGGGCATGGAAATTCTGTCGTTATTCGCGAGTTGTCGTTATATCCGCAGTCGTTATTAGCGAAGTTGACTGTACATGTCGATTGTACTGTATGTTTATCTGCTGCTTGCATTGTATTGTGACGTGGGCCTGTACACTCTAGACTAGCACAACCCTATACCCTATACCCTATACCCTATCAGGGCCTGCTCTAGACATTCAACACAGCCCGGTCAGAGTGTACCTAGCGCATGCAGGCTAGCCGGGTCAAGCCGGGTCGGATCATCCGGCAGAAAACAACCAAAAAGCCTGCTCAAAACGCAGCAAAACAGAAAGGCGTATTTATCACCGGAAATCGGACATTTTTGAGAACAAGGCGAACTATCAAAGTCCGCAAACGTAGAAGGTAAACGACATTACGTGAAGAATGCAAAGCAGTTCCATTGGATTCTGATTTAACAATTTGAAAAAAGGAATTCTGTTTTCTAATTAGTGCTAGTAGCAGGACGAACGACCAAATCCACCGCCGCTCGTCTTCCTTTGGAAATGCGTCTTGCACACAAAGCGCATGACATGGATAGACTGGCATGGTCTTAGTCCAGCCAGGGTCGACCTTTCTTCCAAGAGTCTAGGAAAGCGTGTGTTCTTTTTCTCTTCGCTGCGGGCTCCATCGTCCAAATCACCAGTCGGCTGAAAACTTGCAACTGTGTCAAAAGCTATAGCCAAAGTAGTTACGCTTTTGACTGCCTGCCCCATCGACTTTGAATGTCCTGACTTCCTGCTCGCCGCTGGCCAGATCGCGCTCGAACCAGTTGACCCCAGTTGACCCTAGCCGAGTTTCTGTCGCTTGTAGACTGTAGTGTGTATGGTTGCGCTGTAGATTTGCAACAGATGGGGTCCGCGAGTCGTAAAATACCGGTATTTTAGGAATCCATTGTCAGTTTGAGACATTTTTCAGCCGGGTGAGACTGGACCCGGTGGTATCTGTTCAGCCAGGTCGTGCAGTTCTCCAGCCGGGCGCGTGACCCGGCTGACCCGGCTCTCCAGCAGGCCCTGCCTATACCGGGATACCGGTACTGGTTTCAAGTGGAAAGCGTAACAGCAAACCCGATGACCGTGTGGAACCTAACTGATCTCAAATACGCATGCACAGACGTTCACACGTTCATTTTAGTCAGCGTTTTCTTCGAATCGACAGCATGCAAGTCACACGGAATACAGCACACAAACCCGGTACATGATCATGATGACCGGGACTTGAGAGTAACCAGCATCCAGTATGGAAAAACAACAAGCGTAATGACCAGCACTACCGTGTCACATGCGCTGAACACGTTCTTTAAAAAAAGAAAACGGGGGAAAATAGGAGATAAAATAGTGCTGTCCATGGTTACGGGGCAGTACAGCAGTACACCATGCATAGCAGAGAGTCGTGAATTGATATTTTACGACTCCCTGATGCATAACTGTACATAGCATACCCTGCATGGACCTCTATCATTGCATACAATACATCTAGTTCGGCAGCTAAAAAAAAGCAAAGTTGTGCGAATAAATCCGTCCGCCCAATATGGCGCTGCCGCTAAGGTATTCCAGAAGCAGGAGCTACGAGACTATGGCCAATTGTGTTCGACTACATCCGGTATTGTGTGCAATGTGACCAGCAAAAGCACAGAACTAAAGAGGAAAAAACAGTAATAAAATAGCTGCATAGCAAACAGAGGCGGCAACATCAGCAGCAGCGCGAGGCATGGCGAAAGAAAGAAATCTCGGTTTGGAGGAGAATCCACATGTCTAATGCCTTGGTGGAAGATCTACACTAATCATTTCGTCAGTTCAGATCAGTGAAGGGTAAAAGCAAGAATACGTCCAAACCATTCCTAAACAAAAGAGAAAACTAAATAGCTTTACCTCTGATATATTATTACCGGATCCTCCTGATCAGCATGTGTGTGTGTGTGTGTGTGTGTGTGTGTGTGTTTGCGCGCGCGCGCGCGCGCGTGTGTGTGCGTGAGGAATGTGACGGTCATTGCGTTTCATTGCGTTGATGACTTCTCAGTATTGGAACAAGTCAAGGCCCACACGGCACTCTCTATTCTATGAACGTGGACGGTGCCCAACCTTCTTGCCCGGACGAGGTGCGCACATACCACCAGCCAGTGTCAGCCTTCTCGACGATTTCCAGCGTATCGCCCTCTTCGAAGGAAACCTCTCCTTCTTCACCATGGTATGCGGCGGATGCGCGATTGCCGCCCTTCTTGGGAGGTTTCGGACGGCCTGGCTTAAGAGCTGCAGTACCGCCACCACGGCTGCTGCCGCTAGCTTTGACAGTTACCTTCTTCTTTTCTAGATAGGTGGATGGCGCCCATCCTTCCTTGCCACGGGAACGCACACACCACCAGCCACTGTCGGCCATCTCCAGCACGGTGACATCGTCGCCGGAGCGCAAGGAGATCTCATCCGGCCCATCCGCAGTGTAATCAGCTGACACAACGTACAAGTCCTTGGTATCGCCAGCGCCCTTGCTACCGCTACCTCCAGTAGAAGGCGGCGCAGACGGTTTCTCCGGCTTTTTCTTGCCACCACCGGGCGAGACTGATCTTCCAGCAGGCTGCGGCGGCTTCAGTGCCGATTGGCGTTTACCAGAAGATGATGGCTCGGACTTGCTACTAGCACCCACTGTCTTAACAGAGCCAGGAGTCTTCGCATTCCCTGGAGCCGCAGGAAGTGTTGGAATCGGAGGGCCCGTTTTCTTCGGTTTCGGTGGGTCGTCCGCTATGGCGTCGAAGTAGGTTGATGGTGCCCATCCCTCGCAGCTACCGAGCTTCATCAACCACCACCCGCTGTCGTTCTTCTCGACCAGCTGCAGAACGTCACCTTCCTTGAAGCTCAGGTTGTCCTTGTCCGTGTCTGCATAGTCTGCTGTAGCTTTGTAGTTATTACCACCGGTAGTTGACTTTACCTTCTCTGGAGTTTGGGGCTGCGGTTTCGCTTTGGGCTTTTCATCCTTCTTGGCATTGGGAGTGGCAGTGGATTTCACTGAAGACTTATGACCTGCACTAGGCTTGGAAGTCGGGGAAGGTGGGAAGGTTGGCTTTGGAGAAGTTTTACCTGACGCCTTGTCCACTTTACCTCCTGGTGGCCGAAGGGGCCTGGGCGATGCTTTCGGCTCTTTCGCTGCAGGCAACTTGATTGGTTTGCTGCGTGTCTCGTCACTGCCATCAGTTTCGTGAGCCAGTGGACTGGCTTTGCTGCCCACAGGCTTAAGAGCCAAGGCTGCAGCAGCAGCCGCAACAGAACCATGTCCTGAGCTAGCTGCTGCAGTGCTGTGCACTGAACTTCTGGACTTGGAGCTGGTCGAGGAGTTGTCACTGCCCTGTGCTGCCGGTGTAGGCTTTGCCGTGCCGGTGCTCTTGGTGGGCCTGAGGGACACCTTGGCAAGCTGTGACTGCATGGCACCAACGCCACCATCCGTACTGCCGCTGGACTTGGCTGAAGTTGCCGCAGCAGGAGCAGCACTCTCCATCGTGGGGGTGGACTTGGTCGGACGCAGTCCCACCTTGCTAATGTCAATGGCCTGCGGTTGCTTCGCCAGAGATGTGTTGCGACTGCTGCTGCTGTTCTTGCCAGAACTGGGTGGCGATACAGGGGCTGAGGAGGACTTGGCTGCAGCATCTGACTTGGTGTCTTCCTTGAGATATGACGAAGGTGCCCAGCCCTCCTTGCCGTCGATAACAACATACCACCAGCCGCTGGAGGCCATCTCCAGCACTTTCACGGGCCGATCGGCACTGAAGCTGATGCCGTCATCCGCCGCAGCGCTGAAGTCGGCGACGGTCACATAGCTGGTATGTGCCTTGTCGTCCACTTTGGGAGAGGTGCGGCCAGGCGTATCCGGAGGACTGGTCAGGTCTGACGCACTCGAGAAACTAGAGCTAGGCACCCAGCCTTGCTTGCCGTTCAGGTCCACAAACCACCATCCACTCTCGTTGCGCTCAATGACCTCCACCTCGTCGCCTTCGTGCACCGACAGCTCGGAGTCGCCGACGGCCTCGTACGTGCAGGTAACGAAGGCATGGCTTTCGCTGCTTGGCTGCCTGGCAATCGAGCTGCTGCTGGCTTTCTTCTTGGCCTGAGTGCCAGCGGGGGTCTCGGCCACGGAAGCTGCCGCAGCGGCTGAACGGAGAGCACTGGACGTGTCCTGCTTGGTCCGCGTCTGGCTGCGCATTTTCTTCGTGACCTGCATCAAGCATAACAGATTCGCCAAAACACAAATACGACGATGAGCGCGAAAGAACGATTCTTTGCAAAGGCACAAGTTGACATGACTAAAAAGGCCAGAGGCCAGAAACGTCTCCAGACAGGTCCCTCTGTGAATGAAACGAGAGATAACCCCAATTGACGCAGAATGGCCAATGAGCACATAAGTCATTCCCGGTAGTAGCAGTACTTACCTTGATGGACTGTCGACGTGGAGGCAAAGCACCTAAGTACAGCAAAGGAGAAGATACACACACAAGATGTACACAAGATACACACCTTGTTGAAGACAAGAGGATGACTCTACTTGTGCACACACAGTCACACCCTTCAGACGACAGACGTGACTATTATTGAGGTAGATTCGAAGTCACTGATCACTTCATCAATGCTCTGATGCTCTCATCATCATCACACAGTTTAGCACACCAAAGGTGCACACAAAAAGAAACCAGCAACAGTTTATCTTTCTTTTTTTAAGTGAACATACATCAAGTTTTTTCTTCTTGGAAAGGATGCATGGGGAGGGGGGGGGGGGGGGGATAGGACTTTTAAATGCGACACAAATACGACCGGAATCACAGCTATACCTGATTGTCGATGGTTGCTCGGAGAGAGCAATGGATTGTCGGGAACTGTTGGCTTCCGCAAGCTTTCGGCTGCCAATCCAGCTGCGGCTGCTCCTCCTCCCGTTCCCGGTGTTTGCTTGGTGTTCTGGAGTGTGTCGGTGACGGCTGCATGTGCGGTGGAGACCACCTGCACTTCTGAAGTCGGTGCATTCTCTGCAGGCCTGGCACTCATGTACTGCAGATACGCAGCAGGAACAATACCTTCCTTGCCTTGATACCTGTGCATGAGACGCAGAAAGAGCGAGAGAGAGAGAGAGAGAGAGAGAGAGAGAGAGCGATAGAGAGAGAGAGAGAGAGAGAGAGAGAGAGCGAGAGAAAGAGAGAGAGAGGGGGGGGGGGGGTAGATCGATAGACAGACAAACAGACAGTGAGTGTATGTGTGTGTGCGCGTGTGTGCGCGCGTGTATGTGTGTGTACCATACGGAGTGGCGTGCCAATGCCCACCGACCACACAGGGCACCCCCTGCATCCAACTACAGTGCTGCTAAATGGAATCCAGTCACTGCACTCAAGTTTGCGCTTGGGTCTCGCTGTCAGTGTACCTACTAGTATGCATAGCAATCCCCCGTCCCCGTGTCTTTTTGTTCCTAATTCATGTATACAATCTCTACTCAATGTCTGGCCAGCTGGTGGAAAAAGACATACGGCTCGTCACAAGAGGAACGCACTAGACAGACATTTGTTAGGGTCAAAATGCCCACGCAACACCCCTGCGTCTTATTTGCAACGCCAGTATTCCGACAAATTTCGTCTGATCTCAGCCAATTCACTCTCCCTGCTCGTAACAACTTCAATTTTTTACAAACTGATGTGACTGCATGTGCCATTTTCAATGAGTTACCACGTCGCTGCATGGCCAAGTAGGTGGGGAAATCCCTTTGCAGAGCCCAATCACTGGCCAGAATTGGTTTGCATTGCCGTCAGCTGTAGAAACACACCTCCCCCCCCCCCCCCCCCCCCCCGCTACTGTCTTTCCAGCGGTTATTGCTATGCCACAGCATAACGCGACAAGTTTCAAAAGCAGTGGTTCACTTACCGTACGCGCCACCAGCCTTCAAGATTCTTCTGCACCACCTCGACAACTACGCCCTTCTCGAAACTGATCTCGTCCCGTGCTTGTGCCTTGTACTCTTGAGTTGTGACAAACTTCTCCTCTGCGATGACAGCACAACACAGCACAGTGCAACTCAAGCAGCGCCATGAACACCTAATTCTGTCATTGGTTTCCTCCTTTCGCCCTCCTTTTTTGCCTTTCTTTCTCTCTAACGTGGTGGGGGGGAAACACTCCACACTCTCCAAATCATGTTATCCACCAGATACCTTACGTCAGGAGTGCTACCAAGTCATTTCAAATAGAAATTTGCAAAGGCAGGGCCTGCTGGAGAGCCGGGTCAGCCGGGTCATGCGCCCGGCTGCGGAACTGCATGACTTGGTTGAACAGATAACACCGGGTCCAGTCTGACCCGGCTGAAAAATGTCTCAAACTGACAATGGATTCCTAAAATACCGGTATTTTACGACTCGCGGACCCCATCTGTTTTTTTTTGTTTTTTTTTAAATAATTAAAGCCTCTTTTACGGGCGAACAAAACACGGAGGATTGGAAAACAAATCACTTAATGATGACGTCACATGTGATCAGAGAGCAAGAGAAGCATAGCACAGTCCGCACAATCACGGGCCAAGGCTCAACGGGACACCCTAGCCTCCACGACAGCCAGGGAGGCACAGCCATCCATTGGAGGCTGCCAAACTCGGCGAGCCCCACGCAGACACATGACACTCGAACGCAGCAGGGCGAAAGACAGCCTGCAGCGGAGGTGGGCAATTAGCACAGAATACGCCTCCCTCCCACGTAGCGACTGGAGATGTGCAATCCGGCTCACCAGTGCAGCGGCACCCTTGCCGCATCCTCCGGTGGAAGAGAGCACAAAGGGGAGAAAAGTGGATCGCTCCACTTCTCGGACTCTCCGATCGTATCGACGCCGTTTCTCTTGCTCGTGGGACCCCATCTGTTGCAAATCTAGCGCAACCGTACACACTACAGTCTACAAAGTACAAGCAACAGACTCGGCTACGGTCAACTGGGGTCAACTGGTTCGAGCGCGATCTGGCCAGCGGCGAGCAGGAAGTCAGGACATTCAAAGTCGATGGGGCAGGCATGCAGTCAAAAGCGTAACTTTGGCTGTACAATGTAGCTTTTGACACAGTTGCAAGTTTTCATCCGACTGGTGATTCGGACGATGGAGGTCGCAGCGAAGAGAAAAAGAACTCACGCTTTCCAAGACTCTTGGAAGAAAGGTCGACCCTGGCTGGACTACGAGCATGCCAGTCTATCCATGTCATGCGCTTTGTGCAAGACGCATTTCCAAACTTTGGAAATCCACCGCCGCTCGTGTTCCGGGAACACGAGCGGCGGTGGATTCGGTCGCGATGCGTGGTTGAAAGGTAAGAACTCCGCGGCACTGCTTCGAATTATCGGCATGCTGCTCGGCTCCTGGGTGCTGCAGGCACCCCCCCCCCCCCCCTCCAGTGCTCTATTATGTGAACATGTTCGTCCTACTACTAGCACTAATTAGAAAACAGAATTCCTTTTTTCAAATTGTTAAATCAGAATCCAATGGAACTGCTTTGCATTCTTCACGTTATGTCATTTACCTTCTACATTTATTTTGCAGACTTTGATAGTTCGCCTTGTTGTTCTCTAAACGATTTCCGGTACTAAATTCGCCTTTCTGTTTTCCTGCGTTTTGAGCAGGCTTTTTGGTTGTTTTTCTGCTGGATGATCTGACACGGCTTGACCCGGCTGGCCTGCATGCGCCAGGCACACTCTGACCGGGCTGTGTTGAATGTCTAGAGCAGGCCCTGAGAGGATATGCATGTGCATCCCCCGGGTTCCTGTAAGAGAATCAAAGCCGGTGCTTATACTACAAGGAAGAATTGCACGGGTCACACAATGCAGGATGTGCAGTTGTTTTCACAACATCTACCACTACACGAGCGAGATGCCCAAAAGTGAGGGTACCGGCTTCGGACAAACAGACTGTAAACCACCATTGCCTTTCTTTCCCTGAGTGAGAATCAAGCTAATGCAGCTATGAAGCACACCACACAGCAAGTGCATCCACGACGGGTACTATATTTTCCGGAGTATAAGCCGCACTATAAACACCAGTAAATTATCCCCCCCCCCAAAAAAAAAGTCGGAGCGGCTCATACTACAACGGTCAAATTGTCTGTATTTCGTGACAACAAATCTGGGTGCCGCAGCTTATACGGCAGAAAGCATGGTAGGTAACCAGCCCTGTTCCGCTTTAGCAAACTGTACACTCTACTAGTATCTTACCATCGCCTTTAGATGCAACCGTCTGTGCTTCCTTGGCCTGACCTCCGCCCTCTGCTGGCTCCAGATAGGACGCTGGCACCCAGCCCTGCTCCTCTTCGACATTGACAAACCACCAGCCTGAGCAGAACACAAGAGCAGGTGCCAAGGTGTGAGCGGGCACTTAGTAACTTACTATAGCAGTGCAGAGTACAGTCAGTAACATGAGAACACCATTACCAAGCGTACATTACCCGCATGGGTGTGTGTGCAACTGCCTGCACTTTCTCTAGCCAATGCTGCGACGGAAGAGTATCAGATCACATGACATTGGAATGATTGAATCAACAAGTTACGCTGGCAAGTGGTGCAAAGTGGAGACCAGAGAATTGCATCCGCAGCAGAGTTGCGTACAACCCTGTGGCTGGCGTGCACATGGTGCAGACACGCGGTGCAGACAGGGTGCATTGGTCACGGTAATGTGATGTGAAGTTCTGCCGTCATCGACCCCATAGACTGCAGTTGCACACTCTTGGATAGTGTAACAAAGGTAGTACATGTTGTGATAAGGCTTGCCTTACATCAGCAAACAGCCTACACGGAAACAGAACCGTACATGCATGGACAAAGATCAATAGCGGAACCAATGTCAATTGAGATGGAAAACATATACATGTATCGTATAGTTAAGGCAAACCCGTCAGAGGCTTGAACTAGCCTCAGCGCTTACCATTCTCGTTCTTTTCCACAACTTCCACGCTTACTCCCGCCGACAGATTCACCTCGTTCTTCTGCTTCTTCTTGTAGTCGGCAATGGCCACGTATTGTTCAAGCAGCATTGGTTCGGAGATGACTTCGCCAACCACTGGACAAGGTACATACATGCAGCAGCAGCAGACAGTGAAGGTATGCCAAGTGAGAAGCCACGTCGTGCACATCACAAAGTCAACTTGGTCGAGCTGCACTCAAACGCCTCTCACCTGAGAGCCTTGGGACCGGGCACCCGAGGGCCGAGAGCCTTGGAGACCGGGCGCTGCCCATATCTCAGATTAGCCCGTTGCTCATGACAGCTCATCTATCATGTATCGTTTCACTTTTTGATGAAGTTAGTTTATTAGGCATGCATTGCACATGTTCAGGATAAGAAAAAGAATCTTTTGATGAAAATGAGTGGATTACACAGGCTGACAGTGACAAGACGTATTATTATTTTTTTTTAAAGCACACGCACGTATTCGATTGAATAAAAGTCCAATATCGAAGCAGTTTTAGCCTTAACAACTTACGCTGAAGGTGCCCGGTAGAGAGACAGGCCCGTATCTGAGGCGTCCAGATAGAGACGCTTGCGTGTATTTTGTATTCGTTACAAGACATTACGCACAGTGTTGTCTCCGAAGTCGTAACAACCTCTTCTTCACAGTGTTACCTGAGTTATCATATTACTACTGATTAAGAACATGCTCAAGTATTATCTCGTTATGAGCAGGTTATGACTCACTCTTCGATTTGCTCGTTGAGCTTTTTCCATCTGTAGTACAGCCCAACAACAATATTAGAATTGAAGAGCGTTAGCAGATCAGAGGTGGAGAGCATGTGTGTGTGTGTGTGTGTGTGTGTGTGTGTGTGTGTGTGTGTGTATGTGCATGTGTGTGTGTGTGTGTGTGTGTGTGTGTGTGTGTGTGTGTGTGTGTGTGCGTGCATGTGTGCGCGTGCGTGTGTGTGCTTGAGTGTGCACGGCTTTTGAAGTGTACAGTGTGACCATTTTCCCTGGTCATGATTGCATAAAGTGCTGCACACTAATTAATTGTGTGCTCTTCTAGTGTACGTGTGCTTGGAAATCTAGCCCTACAATATGCATGGTTCTTAGGTGCTCAGTGATGAGACAAGACCTGTTGGGTCGATACAGCTATCTGAGCGGTCAGTACCCGCTGAGTTGGAGCAGTTTTGTTGCTTGTTCGTGAACGTGGTTGGCCGGAGAGCACGTGCAGTAGTGGCAATGCGCTGTGACTCTAGTTGAATCAAAATGCTGAAAGCTTCTGCTTACCCGCTTCATATCAAGCTGACGGCACAAGTACACAAATTAAAAGGTTAATGTAGTCTTGCTCAAGGTAATACGTTATTGATTTCAAGGGAAACGAAAGTTACGTCCAACTCAAGGTTAAACAAATTGAGGGTACAATTCCCTGTATACATTGAGTTCAGTCGGTAAAGGATTAAATGAATCACAACAGGCGATGAATCAACATTCACCCGCACACAAAAGTACCGTTGATCCCCCCCCCCCACACGCCATGTCGCTTCCCAGCTGGGTTTTCGGCAGGGGGCGGGAAGGAATTAGATCAAGGCTGTCAAGTGCAGTACGATGTACAACAACGTAGAAGTTCAGACTCAATGTGCTGGATTGTGCACATTTTCATCCTGGATTGGCAAGTATTGTGTACAGCGGTGCATGCGTCGGTTCAACATTGTACTTTCGTTGTATACGCCGAAGTCGCTTCACAGGTAGAAAATCGACAGGGGGCGGATCAACGGTACTTTACGGTACATACATACACATGCATAGGGACTATGCATGAGAGAAGACATGAACTGCACTCAAGGAGCAGCGTGGTTCCCTACCTTGGTTTTTCCGCGCATCTTTCCTAAAACAACAAGCAGCATAAAGAGGAGGTATACACACAGGAAAAGTCTATTAATACCGAGCATTACGCACCAATGTGTGAGATACCGTCGACCAGAAATATAATGTTCATTGTATACCGGCAGCAACGACAACAGATTCAATCCTCAATACTGCGAATACAAAAACACATCACGAACTAAGAAGAGCTCCGACGTTCGGAGCAGACACTTTCTTCACGGAAACACATTGGCTTGAATTACGGCAGAACACAGAGTACTTACTCATCTCTGACAGGATTCAAGTCGTCATCCTCCACCTGAAAGAACTGCAGTACGTCAAAGCACTCCGAGATGTGCGGTGGAAGGCGAATAAGAGCCTGTGGAAGAGAATGTGACAGACACACAGACAGACAGACAGACAGACAGACAGACAGAGAGAGAGAGAGAGAGAGAGAGAGAGAGAGAGAGAGAGAGAGAGAGAGAGAGAGAGAGAGAGAGAGAGAGAGAGAGAGAGAGAGAAGTAAGGTAAGGTCATGATACGGAGAAAAGAAAATACCGTATTTCCCCGCTTGTAACTCGCAGCCCCATTTCCAGGTCCATGTCATATCGTTTTTATGTATTCACTTCAGTAGTAAGTCATGCTCGATTGTAAGTCCCCCCTTTGTTGGCCCTAAAGTTAGGGATAAATTGGGGAAATGCTGTTCATGTCCTTGATTGACAACGAGGGAGCCAACCGGAATACACACTCTTACCTTGCTTGGTAGTTAAACATGTTTTTTTCCGATTTTGACAGCATGTTACAAGGCGAGGACGCATAGTGCTCCTGACTACGACCATAACCCGGTTGGCAGAAATGGTCGCAACACCGGGACTCTGCCAACCGGGTTATGGTTGTAGTCAGGAGCACTATGCGTCCTCGCCTTGTAACATGCTGTCAAAATCGAAAAACACTCTTACCTTGCAGTACTCATCAATGTCGGTAAGGCGCTTCATGGCAACATTGCGAACATGGCTGCGGCCAAATATGATCTTGCCTGTAACACAAACATGGGCAAGTGTAGTCACATGACAATGACGTGAAACCACTCCACAGGCTGTGCTCCATCAAAAAGGGAAAGCATACATCCATGACATCAACAACTCACAATCAGCGACAGCATGCTACCAATGTGCGTGCGTGAGTGTGCACACACACACACACACACACAACAGGGGCGTAGGAGAGGTTTTGGAAGTGGTACGACCAAAGGTCGGTGCGGCCGAAGGCCGTGTTGGAGGGGGGTCCGGGGGACCTCCCCCGGGAAAATTTTGTAAAAAGACACAAAATCCTGCGTTCTGGGAACTTCTGGCACACTTCAGGCGCAGTGCAAGTGTGCAGTCGAGTCGAGTACAGTCCTCAGTATAGTACTATACTAGTACGACTGCAGATGCATAACAGATCTACGAGTACGAGTCTAGAAAAATGGTCAATGTCTGATGCGCATACATGTACATATGTATGCATCGATGGATCCTGATTTTTTTATTACGGTTTTGAACGTTCCAGACGGACCACACTTTTCGAAAAGTGGTACGGCCTTGGTCGTACCAGTCGTAGCGGGTGCTACGCCCCTGCACAAACCCGCACAGCTTCAGACCGACCAGGCGCACGTATTGCCGCACACAGCGGTACAGAGCTCTTCTACTTTCTCACCTGGCAAGAAGGGGATCATTCGCTGAGTAGGATCATCCTCACCGCCTTCCTCGGGAAACAACTCGAGGATCCGCACCTAACCAGCAAACACCAAACACACACAAACAGCCACGGATCGTCATCATCCACTACCCTCACGTACACATGCTCCTAACAGTACATGCAATAGCCCGTAGTACCAATGGTGTACGCTTGACTACACACGGCCTCTGGCGCCGCTTTCAGTACATGTTTCCATGGTTGCAGACGTCACTTCTCTCGGGCTCAACATTCTCCACCATTTCCAGCCAAAGTACTACTACACTCGACAAAACAATCTGGCCAATGCTGCACATGGTAGTCTATTTACCATGCATGCAGCATTGGCCAGATTTTTTGGGCAAATATGGTAGCTGACCCTATCGCCGGTAGCTTCCTGAGGGACAATTCTACATACCGTATTATCTCTAATATAAGCACGGTCCTTTATTTTTTCAATGTACCTCCGCCCCGTGCTATTATTGGAGACGTTCCTTTATTGGAGATTGTTCCATTATTATTTCAACCTCATTTCAGAGGCTTGTTGCATGCCAAATTCATGTCAGACACACACATTTCAGGGTTTTTTCGCCGGTACAGATAATGAATTTACACAGTGTGCTTATAATGGAGACTGAGCACTTTATTTTTTGAATGCCGCCCCAAGGTGTTCTATTATTGGAGACGTGCTATTATTGGAGACTGTGCTTATAATAGAGATAATACGGTAGGTTGTCATCTCCATTGTGCTGTCTGATACTCCACCCAGGGCACCCTACACCACTAACCGATGCACCAGGTGATAGCTACATCCATATCTGCAGCCTCAGTCCCCGTCGCTCATGGTGCCACCCAATCATGAACATCCACTGGAGCGCCGCCGGTACAAGCTTGAGTTCAACGACTTATCAGGCAGCTCAAGGTTTCCCATGATGCTTTACACTTGACCCTGTTTGACATCTCAACCGGGGTTGATTTCAAGGAACGTACTGCCATGATTACACGTGTAATTGGCGCCAGGACTGCAAACTCAGTGAAGCGATCATACTGTACTCCATACTATCAAAACGGACTTTTGTCGGCACATTGTAACAATCTCCTCAGGCAACCTGCTTCATGTACACACCCACAATTTTCCAACCGTACCGAATTTCAACCCAGGTTAAACCCGACCCTGGCTAAACCTGACCGGAGTTAAACTCGACCCGGGTTCATAGTCTCCCGAAAACACAGCCTCAGTACTATACACACAGACTTGGTAGAAACACAGGCAGGCTGACCTGTCCTATGCTGGCATACCTGAAGCTCAAAGAAGCGACTGTAGCGCCTGAAAACGACTGTCCGTGATCCGTCCGACCAGTTGACATTGACTACGTATACCTGTGTGTGTGGAGAGATTGTGAATGTGCAGCGTGGTGTTACCACGGTGAAAGCACAAACCCGTATGCAAACGCACACAAACAGTCACACACACACACACGCATGCTCGCACGCACACACACACACACACACACACACACACGTATGCGTGAACACTGTCACAGGTACGCATGCAGCCAGGCACACATGGCGAGAATGAGGTTCATTTACGATTCACTTCGGTCGGCGACGTGCACCAGCAACTTTAACCATCAGTAGTGAAGCCGTTCGAAGACGTAACTACCGGTATAATTATATCATAGCTAATATCTAGTTATGTTAATAAAGTAGTGTTGCTACATGATGTAGTATTGAAATAGCCGTCGACTGTTGTGTTCGTAGCAAGAGTGGGGTTGTCATTCAGACAGTAAACTACCACGCACATTCAAGTCAGATGCTCTGCAAAGCTGAAACCCTCTGATAGGCTACTTGCCTCGCGGTCCTCGCCTGAGTCATCCCCAAAGGGATAACACAACCAGTAGATAAATTCACAAGAACTATAGTGAATTTTGCATGTGTAATGTAAGTGTGACCAGCAGCACTATTCTATGCACATACGTAATGTTTTGAAGGCACTCTTCTCTTCTCAACGTCCACGACGTCCACGGAGTTGACCACGCGTTTCACCATCTTTCCACAACCCCGATTGCCAGTACTGAATTCCTCAAGCTCATGCTCTAGGCCCTCTCATCTTCATCAAGTTTATTAATTTCGAACAATTAATTTATTCGAATAATGTACTACAAATTGTACAATTGGCACAATCATGGAGCTTGGAGGAAGATCCGACGTTCCACTTCAAACTGGCTTTTAGTCAACTTAGAACACGATGCAGCGTCACTCCAAAAGGATTGAAAGGATTACGAACTACTTGGCCAACTTCATACTTCTCTGTGTTGTCCTCACTGTCAAACTCAAAGACACTTGTTTGTACTTCGGAATTTCTGGTTTTCCCTCCACTCCAGTTTCGGACCAGTCGATCGTAGATTTAGATTTACCGTAGCGTGCATGAGGCCGTGCGTGCACGCGTGAGGACGCTTCGAAGACGCAACCCACGGGTGTTTGCAGTGCATGAACTCTGGCCAGTCGTCCCCGTACGCAAAATGCGTACGCATTCGGATCTACCGTACATTTCCTCGTGTTTTGGGCGAACCTGAGCGGTACGACGCTGTCGAATTGGGCCTGAATTTGCCCTGAACCAGCCGCTATCGAAGTAAAATTAGGTGTTTTGAAGACCACACGGGAACACTGCGGCCATGTCTTCTTTCCTGCGTCGTTTGTTTGAAAATCGGAGTGTTTTTGAGCTCGTAGTTTCGTCTTCGTTGTGGAATGGCCGTGCGTACATTCGCCTTGGAATTACCAAAGTCACACCCCGTTTCTTACATTACCAGGAGTTTTGCCGGCAGCCACGATAGTTTTTATCCCTGCTTCCATACATCCTTTCATTGAATAGCCAAACGAAACTTTGTGGCGCGCCTTAGTTTTTTGTGGCGCGGGGGTCTCAAGTTTGTCACTTCGAGTTGTACACAACAGCCACATCATCTCAAAGGACCAAAAACACCAAGTGAGCAAAGTATTTCAACGTTGCGATTTTGCCTGACCTACTGTGAAGATGGAGACTTCTACTCGGTAGCAGATACTCGTATCAATAAGCTGGGAGGGAGAGCGTGGCGAGTAAAATGTTGGGATGAAAAGAGCCACATTCTCTCTCGGAAAAGTCGTCGTTCTCACACACGTACACTTGCTCTACCCAGATCTGCCAGAAGGCTAGATTTTGCATGCACGTGCGAGATTCGCATCCGCCGCGCACATAGCCAGAGTCGAAATATTTGTACTCTCGGATTTGCCGCCATCTTGACGAGTGGCCGCTGCGAAACACCCGTGAACCGGATAACCATCCTGACTGTGCATGTGAAAGTGTGCAACTGTTGTGTTCATGGTGTTCAGGTGTTCCATGTGTAGACGTGATTTTTCTTGCATCAGATCAGGGAGTACATGTATCGGTACGCGGTACTACTTGTAATAACTGCACTGGTAGGTCTATTATTTTGATGTGTATGCAGTGGGATGGGCCGGGCATGCTGAGGCGCTAGGCCCGTAGAGCTCTACGTGCGGGTTGCCATTATTTCTGGCCTCACTGTAGTGTAGCCTGACCGTCGAGTGAGACAGTTCAGGTTCACCACCAGTCCTGTCTTTACAGAACTCAAGCCTTGCCAAGTTTGGGCAACTGCGCAGTAATGACGGTGGCGATCAATGAAACAGACGAATGACTCAAACTCAATGATTATGTGGGCTGGGCCGATCTTGCATAAAGATAAGCCAACGCTAGGCACGGGAATTGACATCACTGCGTAGACTCAATTATTTTATTCCTCCTGGAGTCCTCTTCTTCTTGCACTAGCAACTACATGTACTAGTAATATTACCCGTATAAGTATCTACAGGTGGCCTATACAGAGTCCACGCAAAAATGTTGTTGTAACTCCTTTTTCCTTTTCCTTTTTTTCCTTTTTCTAGTCTTCTTGTACGAGTCTCGTACTGCCCTGCACCCTTTCTTCTTTGGAGACCGCCTGGTGTCATGTACATGTAACACAGTTGGAACCTTTTTTAGTTGCTAGTGCAGTGCAGGGATCGATAAATGCATGATGATCACATGTACCGGATTTGTTCTCAGTTAAAACGGTTTGCCTCCTTCCTGTGACAAACCTGTAATTTGAGACTTGGCGTAACAAGGAATTGCCACTAGCTCGCCACACAGGCAAACAAACGAGCCACATCGTCGTCCAACAGTGAACTGGCACAACAGTGCATGGCATGCTGTCCAACAGTGAACTGGCTCAACACTAGCAGTGCTGCATGGCATGCTGCATGGCCCGTAACCGGTACCTCCGGGACTAGACTGTACTGCCTCCCGGAGTTCAGGAACATCGCTTACTTACTTGTCAGTGCACGTGTTACACAACATTGCCGTGTTGGAATTCTGCAATACAAGAACTGGCAATGCTCTGCAATGTCGCCGGGTGTTCCAGCCGCAGTGTTCCAAGCGGGTGTGATTTTTAAAATGCACATAATTATTGAGAACAGGCGGTTTCGCCTCCTTTGATACATGTGAACGACAGAGGGAATGAGAGAAAGAGAGGGGGTGGGGAGAGGAAGGGTAGAAAATAATTTTAGCGAGTCAACCTCAGGGGCCTGGGCTACACTAAAGCAAAAATGGAATGGGAATATACTATTATACAAAGTAGCATCATACAACTTGATAAACTGAAGGTGGCTGGGCTCGGAAGGGTGCCTCAGAGATGATCAGGACAGGAGGGAGCTGGTACCACAGGACAGGTGCATGTCTTCTTCTATTACTAACAGTAACACGTATACCGGTACTAGCCCTGAAAGAGGATGCAGTAACTACATCAGTACATGTACATGATTGTACAGTGAAACCTGTCAGACGACCCCTCTGTAAAACCATGGTCTCTGTTTCCAGGTGGTCTCCTTATGTAGGGTCATTTGACTGGAAATAGCATACCTTGGCCCTGGCCTTGGTCCTGGGTTCAGTGGTCTTCTAGGACAGGTGGTCGCCTTGACAGGTTTTTACTGTACCGATAGTTACATTGTACAGTGTACATAATTATATGCCTCTCAGTATGAACCTGTTTGCCCGCCGTACTTTCGTTGTCGGTGTTATTCAGCCTGATCTAGAATATGCTCTCCCTGTATACCTTTCGTTTACATGTATATCCGCTAAAAATTGAAACAAGCTAGCCTCACTCCACCGGCGCGCTGTACGAGTTGCTTGTGGCGCATCACCCCAAGCTAATATCACGCCACTTCTTCACCACCTCAATGTTTCCTCTTTCCAATATCGATCAGTATTTTTGTTCCTTGTACTTATTTCCCACTGTTACTGTATTAAGCCGGCTGTTTGCTTGCAGTCCCTCTTTCCCATCTGTACGTCTACCCGAACTACTCGCGGCTCAACAATTCATAACATGAATATCAATCGCTATACAATGTGTAGATCTATGTCTGGCTTTCTGTCCTTTTCAAGTAAATCGGCTCTTGTTTGGAATTATTTACCAGACGACCTGAAGTCCTGCACTACTATCGCAGATTTCCGCGTCAAATTGGCTATTTGGCTAAAAGACAGCTTAACTCTTAATCATTGTTGTGATTTGCTTTCAAGCAATGTGCATAATCAGTAAATTGATGTTGCTGTTTTTGTTTTTGTTTTTTTTTTGGTTTCCCGTTCTCGGGCCGGGGCCTTCTAGGCTGCATTCGATTGTAGAAACTGGATCCCGATCCCCGCCGACCAGATCACTTCGATCGGACGGATACAATCGAATGTGCACAACCGATAATCCGTTTCAAGGCCTTAGCAACCGCGTTGCTACAGCTCATCCCGCAGTATCTCTGTACGCGTTGTGGTAAACTCTTGACCTAGTGTACGCATATTGCGAGTTTTGAGTAGATACGAGTCGTACTATCGAAATGAATCCGTCGAATCCGTCGAATCCGTCTCTGGGAGGTGGGTTGACTGGATCCGAATCCGTGCTCTCGGGATCCGGATTCGTACAATCGAACATGCACAAATTTGGCGAATCCGGGTCCGGGGCTGATGGATTCGTACAATCGAACATGCCCCTATTCGGTACTCTTTGTAGTTGTACTTCTGTACTGTTGAGCTATCCGAATTCAAATAAACATAAAAAATAAAAATAAAAGTACATGTAGTATCAAGAGTACATAAGCTTTGGGTACAACTCGCTTGTGGTCACTTGTCTTTGTACTGTTTGCCAGTGTAACCTTTTGAACCATGTCACGTGATTTGAAGTTCTGCCGTCGGAGCACTACGAGGTGAATAGCAATTTCTGGACATGAAAATAAAATAGAGGCCCACTGGCTGTGTGTTTTACATTTTTCATATCTTTTTGTATCTATTGTATGGCCTAATCCTTCATCTTTCCAAATATGTGACAATTGCTCATGCTGTGATCCCAGAGACTGTATAGCAGGATGTTTTCGACAGGCCAATTTTTTGGCCTAAAATTCAGTGTGTGGAATTCTGGACATGAGAGTAAAATACTGAGCGTCAATAGGCATCCTATACTGCACCATTTTTGTTATTTTTTCTATTGGTGTACTGCAGTTGGCCTCTCCACACTTCCAGCCAGCAGGTCCAAGACTATACAGCGTCTGAAGTGGAGTGCACATGGGGAACCGGAAGCCAACGATTCGTCCATTACTTCTTATTTTACTCAAAATTCAAAATTCTCTTACGACATAGTACCACAAAACTCGTTGAAATGCCTCCCAAGAAAAGGCTATCAACAAGGCACCGACACGAGGAGAAACTACAACAGCCCAGCTGTCAACTACAACAAGAAAAAAGTTCATCAACCTGACTGACTTGACTCTACACGCGACGAAAAATTATTTTACTCGAAATAGCAATTCACCTCGTAGAGGTTGTGCAGGCAGTTGCACACTCTTGGGGGTTATGTACTCTTGGTAGTATGGTGCATTGTGCTGGAATTATGCCAATGATGCGGCTTCGGTCCAATCTAATGGTATGGTGAACTAAATACAAACAACCCTTGGCGGATTATGCTCGGTAAATTGCTGAATTACCGGTATGCCGCTTCCATTTTGCCCAAATTATGCCAGTGAGTATGCTACCGCAATATGCTGGAATTATGCCAATGATGTTGCTATTGTACCCTTGCACTCTTGTTGCACTTTGCAACGACTCTGGCACCATGACAGCACAGCTTATAAGCGGTAACATTCACCAGGTTATTTCCTGTATCGACATGTATAAACATGCCTAAATATGCTTGGAGCATTAAAATCTTCAGCCAGCATCGTAAGGTTATGCCGACCCTCTGGTCTCAGGAGTTAGCCCTTTCCCAAAGATGCCATAATTTTTCGCAACTTTTGCTTTTCGCAACCGTGCCAAAACAAGTGCAAGTATTGGTTGCTGAAATCACATCTATATTTTCAGAAAAAGGTCAAAAGTTGCTAGTATCGCAACTTTTAAAAAATTGGAGAGGGAAGGGAATGCACATTATCGTAACTACCGTTGATCAACTATTTCTCTGAAATGAGTCTGAAGGCAGGCGAGAAATGAGCGAGTATGCAATTATCTGTCCGACATCAACGCCGTGCTATACACATCTGCCTTCGGATTCCCCTCTTTGCACCAGTTCACCACAGCTCCCTCCTCCATCACGGAAAGCTTCCCACCCTTAGCTCACGACTCCACAAGTCCTACTAGCATGGGACATCCACCACCAAACCTCCCCATCACACCTGCAACAACCACATCTTGCACCACAACGTCAACCATACACCCTTCGACAGACAAGGACCTACTCCATCGGACGCGCACACACAAACAGGCACCGAGATTCCCCCATCAACAGTGCCCTCACCCTCTACAACTCACTCCTTATCGACATCACAACCCAACATCGTAGAAATTCTTCCCGAAACAATGCATCCAGTCTTCTTTTGAGCAGTACCTGTTCCTGCTCCGCGCACGCGGTTTCTGATATCTCGAACTAGTAATTAACTACCTCGATCACCCCTGCTAACGTTTTTGCCCCCAATCGTTTTTCATGATCAATTGCTTCTTGCCTCCCCGGTTAATTTCCATCTAGCTATTTCTGCCTAGTATCAGTTCTATCACACTTATCAATCGTCCTTATTGGCGTTACGCCATCGTGGAATAAAATAATATAATAATGTAGTTCGTGATTTGACCGTTTGACCCCATGCCATGGGGCCAAGGTTGCGGAATAGTTGCGAAATAGTTCGCAAAAATGAAGAAAGTTGCGAAAGTTACGATTTCTTCCAAAACAACGAAAAGTTGCGAAAAAAGTGGCGAGCATCTTTGGGAAAGGGCTATCAGGAGTCCTTTTATGCCAGGGCATAATTTTTAGACAAAACCCGAAGATTGTGCCAGAAAATATGCCAAGATAATCCGCCAAGGGCTTGTGCACTGAGTCTGTGTACAGTGGATACACTGAACTGAAGACAAGTATGAGAGGGGGTATGGAAGTGCACATCGAGTCACAGCCAGGATAACATCAGTGTCAACGATCATTCCAGCGTTTCAGTAACATTAGCATTATAGTATTGAACAAGGGCCCGACGAGTGGGGGTGCCGGGGTGGGTATCGACAAGGTTGGCAAGTAACAGTCAGAAATAACGTTACTACGTGGAGAGTGTGCCGGTCTATTTCGGCTAACGGCTGGACGATGCATTAGAACCGTGAAAGCTTGAAATGGGTATGCAGTGAATTAAGAAGAACACTGTTAAGACAAGCATTCGCTTTAGAAGAACTACGGTAGTATTCGTACCTCTATTGGATAAATCACTGTGTACTCACTGGGTATAAATTGTGGATAAGAAGAACTCCTGCTATTGTGAACAAATACATGCACCATCAGTCCCTTGATGATCGTTCTAAAGAGGTTTGACTGTATGTATTATTAAACTCATAGCCGGCTGCAATGCATAATCTCCTGCCTGCCACGGTACATGAGTTCACATGTAGCGGTATGTCAACGGTTAATCCCTAGGTGGATGAGCTAGGATAAATGGAGATTATGGGAATGGAACGGGGTAGCGGAGGGCATGCTCCGGATTGCCAAGAGTTATTCCAAACGATGAACTCCACTTCTGCTTGGCATTTAGAATAGTCAATCCTATGAAGTTGTTGTATGCGTCCGTCTCGGCTGACATTGGTTCTATTGCGACCGCCTGCTCACCGCTTATTGATGCCGAGCCAGTGAATGCCTGAACGAAGCGGAACTCTCTGTCCTGGAAAAGGAACACGGCTTCCTTGGCCACTGTGTCATAGATAGTGGTGGTCGTTGCAGTGCAATTGCTTTTGCTGTCGAATGCCGCCAGTATAGCAAAGCCGTCGTCGATGTAGGTGGGTGCTGACGTGCTTCCCCCGATTGTATGCCCATTGGTGAATAGCTTGGTTGGTTCAGTTTCTCCGGTCGGGATTAACGATTCTGGATCGGTCAGGACGTGACTGTAGTTTGAACATTGCTGAAACTCCACGACTGCATCGGCTGTTTTGGTGACCTTGATGTACGGGTGCCAGCCCATGTAGAACGGCAACGGGCGCGCATCGTCCTCGTTCGTGGCACGAATGTTCAGCACAAAGGAATTCTCCGTCAAGATGTATGTCAAGAGGACGGAAAGTGGGAATGGATAGCCCGGATCGGTGCCATCGAACTTGTACTCCAAAGTCACGATGGCATATTGGTCACCACCAGCAGAATAGACCACCGATAGCTCCTTGTTGTACAGTAAGCCGTGGATCGCGTTTCCCCGCGACGGCTCGTTTATGTGCAGACGATGCGTTCGGCCCATGAACGTGTACGTTCCCTGCAGCAATCAGCGAGGCAACATGAAAACACCAGCATTGGCTAAACGGCAATACACACACAGCCATGCATTATAGACTAGTACATATACACTGTGTTACTACGCCATGGACTGTGGAAGCATGGTCTGGTAATCATAGGGCCAACCTGGGTGAAGACTACCTGTCAGCACAACCAAGTACACTGCAAGTGCTCTGATGCAAAAAGAACACGCACGCATCATCATCATTGACTGGAGCATAGTCAGAATTTCTCTCCCTTGCTTCTGCTCTTGTGCTTTGCGGTGTGGCTGATTCTCAGTTCACATACAGTTATTGTACTAACTGCTTATTGTGCTTCTGCCTCTCTCCCTCATGGTTTCAGCCGTATCTATTTGATTGATAAGTTAGTTATATTTTCAAGGATTATCCAGAGGCAAATGGATGCTTATTTACATGCGGTTGTGTGTTTACTCTGCTGCTCAGATAAGGAATGCAAAAAAAGGCACCACACCTTCATGTACATGCACACACACACACACACACACACACACACACACACACACACACACACACACACACACACACACACACACACACACACACACACACACACACACTACTACTACTATGTACAACTGCCACAAAATGGCCACGTCGCTCCCAGAAGCGGGAGACAACAGCGAGAAAAAAAAGAGACAAGGAGAATAATTGAGGTGAAAGGGGACCGTTCTACACATAGCTAGTGTTTCTGTCTTCGGTGGCGGGTGAGGTCCTGCGGGCGGGAGAATCGTTCGTTACATAGGCTGCATTGAATGGGCAGATTAGTCCTCTGGTCCTTTCGCAGTCGTTTGCCTCGAGTACAATTATGGCGGTTAAAACCAGCCTGACTCTTCATGCAGCGATCACAGATCGAGCAATGGTGCTGGCAGCAGTCCAAATTCAGGCTGCATCACACACACACACACACACACACACACACACACACACACACACACACACACACACACACACACACACACACACACACACACACACACACACACACACACACACACACACACACACACACACACACACACACACACACACACACACACACACACACACACACACACACACACACACACACACACACACACACACACACACACACACACACACACACACACACACACACACACACACACACACACACACACACACACACACACACACACACACACACACACACACACACACACACACACACACACACACACACACACACACACACACACACACACACACACACACACACACACACACACACACACACACACACACACACACACACACACACACACACACACACACACACACACACACACACACACACACACACACACACACACACACACACACACACACACACACACACACACACACACACACACACACACACACACACACACACACACACACACACACACACACACACACACACACACACACACACACACACACACACACACACACACACACACACACACACACACACACACACACACACACACACACACACACACACACACACACACACACACACACACACACACACACACACACACACACACACACACACACACACACACACACACACACACACACACACACACACACACACACACACACACACACACACACACACACACACACACACACACACACACACACACACACACACACACACACACACACACACACACACACACACACACACACACACACACACACACACACACACACACACACACACACACACACACACACACACACACACACACACACACACACACACACACACACACACACACACACACACACACACACACACACACACACACACACACACACACACACACACACACACACACACACACACACACACACACACACACACACACACACACACACACACACACACACACACACACACACACACACACACACACACACACACACACACACACACACACACACACACACACACACACACACACACACACACACACACACACACACACACACACACACACACACACACACACACACACACACACACACACACACACACACACACACACACACACACACACACACACACACACACACACACACACACACACACACACACACACACACACACACACACACACACACACACACACACACACACACACACACACACACACACACACACATGGAACACATTGTGACAACAGCACCACGCACCATTGTATATACCCCCCAGTGTTCTTGCATAAGCCCATCATAAGTGATTGCATGCGACTTAGAAGGAGAATAGAAATAATAATTACATGGAATAGCCTTGACCCGTTTCGATCTACAAGACTACAGCCCCACCTGCAAAGTATTTTGAAGAACTATGTTTGGTTGTAGTCCTCATGGTCATGCGTGCAACAGTGCATGGGAAATCTTTCTGATGCACGAGTCCTACTTACGTTGGCAATGCGATTGGCGAAAGGAAGTAGGATGGCTCCTTTGAACAAGGCATTCTCCTTGATCGCAGCGGGATCGCCGTTATGCGTCAGAATCACGTCACGAACCCGATGGCTGTTGGGAGACATCAAGCGGACAGCCTCGACGCGACCACCTTGTGTGGGCAAGACCCAAACGCTTTGTTGGCTGACGGTATCTACGAGCTGTTTTGTGGGAATTGAACCACCGTGGCCGTCGATTGTTCCATCCTCCACGATAAATCTACCGGCTGCTGATGATTTGCGCTGGCTTCGGCTAGGAACAGAGCCACAGGCGGCGACCATCAATGAGAGGAAGGCGCAGCACGCAATTTCATTCAGGCGCCACATGATTGCGGCTTTCCCTTGGATTGCCTGGGTAGATCTACTCAGTCCGATCTACACCACAGCCGACGAGCTCCTCCGCCCGGGCTTTCTCAAGATTGGTTCGGAGTGGCCGCTGATGACCTTGATACTCACGTTGGTCTTACTGCTTCAGTGCTAGCGCTAAGTTTGGTCAGAGGTGCTGCAACACGTGTTGCTACTTGCTAGACTCGACAAGGCAGTGTGCGGTGCGAATGCGCGAGCGGAAGTCCCACTACTATCCTGGAGTCACTGAGTGTACAGCACCTGCACGGCTGTAGGAAGAATTCTTATGGGGAAACCCGGACAGGAGAGTGATACTGATAGTGTTTTGCGAGCCCAGTGTCTGTTAGTCGTTAGTTCTAGCAGACTAGGTGCGTAGACTACTAAACCCAACCCTGGTTTCACTGCCGATTTTACGCCAATTGACTCTAGTGGCAATGCATGTACTAGTTATAGGCATGGGGAGGTCTGGTCTGGCCCCATCCAAACTCATTCATCATTCAGCACAGACCGCGCAATCATTGCAGACATGATTCACGGTATGTCAGTTCTTGGCATTTTTGGCGTCATGATCACGTGCGGGACAAAGTGTCGGGGGGGGGGGGGACTACGAACGTCACGCGTCACCAGATCAAGCCGCATACATGTATACAGTCATACTGTAACATAGTGATGGCTCACTGAGGACTACGCACAGGGGAGATAAGAAGGTAGGGCTACAAAATAGGGAGCGTCAGTCATCAATTATCACGTCATCGGTTGTAATGAACCAAAAGAAAACAGTGCCTGAGTCTTGGGGGCTTATGTCAGGATTATAGTCTTGGTAATTCGCAACATCATCAGTTGCAACTCCCGTGAGTTTCATTGTCAGGGTTACTTGCACCAAGCATGAAACTCATGCAGAGCTACATGCCTTTTAAAAGTGCCCCCTATTGTTACTGCAACATTGGACCATTCTAAACACGCTGTGTACACCCCACTGTGTATTCTCGGTACATGTGATATCAATAGTTCATGCTGCGGTACCGTTACAACCAGGGAGTAGTAAAATAATAATTTACTACTGTACTTTTACTACTCTCTGTTTTTTTTCATGTACATACATGTATTTTTTTTACGGGCAAAACTCAAAACAATTCATTGAAAACTGGCACGTTCGGACTGTCCGGCCGCCTACTCCGTGGAAAATAAATAAATAAAAATACAGGAAAATGAAAATGCCATAACACATGGATCAAAAAGCAATGAGAGAGTAAACCTACTCCCTGGTTACAACCAATGCCACCAATGCCACGGTGCAAGGTCAGTGCGGTGCAACTGAGGATCAGGTACTATTATGTTGGCAAAGAGCAAAACGAGCCAAACCAGGATAAAACCATTCATGTCTGTAAAAAGTCAATGTGGAGGCTACGGCCCTGTCGTACACTATCATTCCAGTGAACACTAGTACTAGTGAGGAGGGGAAGTGTGGAGAAAATCACGGAAGCTAGGCCCTTCACTTGCCTTGCCAAGGCTAACTGCAACTGAGCTCCTCCACTGCTGCTGGGCGTTGAGTATGGACAAGCCAATGTGATTATTGAATGCGTCTGTCTCAGCCGACATGGGCTCCACGGCGACTCCTTGCTCCCCGCTGATTGACACGGACCCGGTGAACGCCTGTGTGAAGCGGAAGTCGTCAGTCTGGATCATGTACGTGGCCTCCTTCGACAACGTGTCGTAGATGATGTGCTCCAGCGAGGTGCAGTTAGCATCGGTGGGCGCCAGAGCGGCATAGCCGTCATCAATGTACGTCGGTGAGCTGGCCGTGCCGCCTATGGGCTTCGAGTCAGTGAAGGTGCTCGTGGGTTCCGTGGTGCCGGTCGGGATCAGCGAAGTCTTGTCCGTGACGATGTGACTATAGTTGGAGCATGGCGCGAAGAGAACAACGGTGGAGGCCGTGGCCGTCACCTTGAAGTACGGATGCCAGCCCATGTAGAACGGCAGCGGGCGCGACGCGTGCTCGTTTGTGGCACCGACGCTCAGCACAAAGCCGTCGGCGGTCAGTATGTAATCCAGCTGCACCGTAAGACGGAACGGGTATCCGGGATCGGTGCCGTCAAACACGTACTGCAGCACCAGAATGGCGTACTGGTTACCGCTCACCGAGCTCAAGACGGTCAGCTCCTTGTCGTAGAGCAGGCCGTGCAGAGCGTTCTGTCGCTCCGGCTCGTTGATCTTCAAGTGATACGTCTTGCCTTGGAACATGTAGGTGCCCTGCAAGAAGAGCAGCACACATGCCACACAGCATGCACAACACACACGCCACACAGCATGCACAACACACATGCCACACAGCATGCACAACACACATGCCACACGCCACACAGCATGCACAACACACACGCCACACAGCATGCACAACACACATGCCACACAGCATGCAAAACACACATCTTCACAGTATGAAAGGAAGTAAACTATAGCGCAGCAGCACCGGCAGAAGCAGCAGCAGCAACAACAACAACAACAACAACAACAACAACAACAACAACAACAACAACAACACCAGCAGCACCAGCAACAACAACAACAACAACTATCTCTTATTGGCGATGGTGCCATCGTGAGAATAAAGAATTCAAATTCAATTCAAACAACAACAACATAAACAACATCGTGAGAATAAAAGATTTCAAACAACAACAACAACTGGACAACAACAACAACAAGCTCAAGTTACGGCCCAGTACAGCCTTCGACACGCACGCACTTGGCACCTCCCACCCTCCAGAACCGATCGCTGTAAAGACTCCCCACTGTACAAGTCCCTAGAATACTACAATGCCCTCCCTGCTAGCATTCGTGACGTCTCCTCCCGACCTGCTTTCAAACAAGAAATCTGCTCACTGCTGATTAACTCAATCTGCTCCTGCAGCGCTCACCCTCTCCCATACTTGTAAAGTTCAAAGTGATGTAAATCACTTTCCAACTGTTTAACCCACAATCTCACCTTCTCATAAATTTATCTCATATATGGCGATGGTGCCATCGTGAGAATAAAGAATTCAATTCAAAAACAGCAGCAATGGAACGCGGGCATAACCGAACTCAGGATCCCATGCAAGTGTACGGGAAATCCATTGTCCTGTCCTAGTCCTGTGCATGTTGATTCAGCTGGTATCCACACACTGCGGACACAGAAGGGAAGTTAGCATATAGCCCACCTGCTTGCCAGCCTATTGCCAGTATCGTGTGGGCATGACATGGCATGCAGCCAGCCAGCTGTTTATAATCGATATGGATATTACCGAAGTACAACTTACAGCTGCCCGATGCTGCATTTTCACCCAAGGGCACACATCCGTTGGCTGCATAACGTGGATCGACCATTCTGCCACTAGCTGGCTGGTTAGTGATGGTTACAGTGCGTACAGGAATGCAGGGGCATTGAGGACCTTGGCTGGGCTCAGGTAGCTGTTTGGGCAAGAAATACTGGCCTGCATCTAACCATTAACAGCACCAGTGACCAGTCATACGTGCTGGGCAGCTGTGAGCAATCCGACCTCACATCCAAGGCACTGTGTCAAGGCACTATGTCCAGTGCCTTGAATTGGAACGTCTTGCCTTCACATTCTTCTCTCACTGGTAAAGTAAGATATTTCAGAAGGTACTGGATCGTGTGCACTACTGCACACTGCACTACAATGTGTATGAATGGTCAGTATCTAATATTGACTGAGTACGAGGTCTATCATAGGAAAAAAGGCGCGTAAAAGACCGAGGCGACGCCGAGGTCTTTTACAAGGTTTTATTTCCTATACAGTTGAACATCGATTATCCGACCACCTCCGGGCAGACAACTGTCAGGCGGTGTTCAGATAAGGCAAATGTTCTGGATAAGAAAAAAACTGTCACTCACACACTTTCAGTGGTTATTACTAGCCGCACGACCTTTTTACTTTTTTATAGGGGTGAAAGTTGGCACTGAGATCCCGAGTTCGAGTACTCTGATTTTCTCCGATCGAATATTCGAGTATTCGAGTATTTTTCATCTCCTAAAAATTGCACACCAAGGGCTTTAAAATCACATGATACAACCCTGATTGAACCGAGTAGCAGTCATTTTTCTCGGGTATATCAGTTGGTGGGTCATTTGGGCTCTCTCTACTCGTGAACAAATGTTCACCACACAGCCTGCACATCACCATCTGCCGACTGCTGCCCTGAAACTGCAGATTTCTGTAGTAAATGCATGTACCATGTATGAACGAGTACTCTGATTTATTCCGAGTACGATTATTTTTGAAAAAACCGAGCGAGTACTCGAGTACTCGGTATAATTGTTTCACCCCTACTTTTTTACTTTTCAAAATTTTCGTATTTTTTGAATGGCTCACTACATGCACAGTGCGTACTCTACGGCACATGCGCCCAAAAAAACTGTTACGGATAATCGAATGGTCGGATAGTCGATGTGCGGATAATCGATGTTCAACTGTACTGACCAAATACGAAGTCAATATTTGATTTATCACGACTAACCAAAGCCTGTGTTCAATCCCTTAAAAGGAGTCAAGTAAAAGCAGTCAATATAGCCCTATTGAGAAAGGAGTGAAATATGCAGGAGTATTTGACTGCTTACAATAGGTAGCGTTATAGCAAAAATCCATGGGAGTCAATACTAAGGGAGTGATAATATTCTATATCAGTGCATGTTTATGCGAACCTTACGTTGGCAATGCGATTAGCAAACGGCAACAGAACGGCTCCCTTGAACAGAGCGTTTTCCTTGATCGCAGTCGAATTACCGTTATGAGTCAGGATGACATCCCGAACAACTCCACTCGTGGCCGACTTCATGCGAATGGCTTCGACACGACCGCCTTGCGTGGGCAAAATCCACACGTGCTGTCCTTCAACGTTGTCCGTGAGTTGCTTTCCGGGAATGTCGCCCACCATGATATCCTCCACTGTGTACCGATCGCGGGCAGAGGATTTTTCTGCTTTGCGATCACTTCTTTCTGGAGCAGATTTAGCGGTGACTGCAGCCAGCAATGTCAGCAGCAGGAAGGTACACACACTTCTCCTCTGTCGCCACATGATTCTCGAGCGGATGGTAACTGTGTTCTTTCGAGGGCAATGCAGGACTGTAGAGGATCTTCACGGACACGCGTTTTCCAAGCCGCCTACAATATGGGCAAATCTCGAAATGGGGAATGTTCGAATCAATCAACCCTTTTGAAGGATCGCTCGAACATAGTTCCACCATGCACCCTGGTTCCATCCGTAATTATTATGTAGCACCTGCACCATGTGCACTGCTACTGAGCAGATCTGTCTGTTGATCACGGGACTCATGTCATTCTCAGGTCTCATGCCCACAGACCCTATGTCATAGATGCTGCTATGACATAACCGTGCTCCGTAATTACAGGACTGGTACATTTTTATCATGTCCCGGTATGTAAAATGTAGCGTGTGTATACAGAACAACAAGGGCAAGCAAGCCTTCCAAGGCTTGTTTGCTTCTACATTGTACTTAACAAAGTTTCGTGCTTTCGCAATCATCAGGCAACATGAGGATGGGGTGCCGACCATGCCGGTATACATGCCAGGAGAGGGTGGGTCTACTTGTAGACACATACAAATAATCGTAGGAGCTAGAGATTGAGATTCGAATGCACGGGCCACTGGTAAGTGGTAAACATTACTGCATTTAATACTGGGTCCTGAGTTCACCTCTGAGGCGATGACTAAAACCCGCGTGGTAAGGCACAATCTCGTCGGTATAAATGCCGTATTCGACATAATTATAACGGTACGCAAAGAGAGGAAGGCTTATGGCGCTGTATCGCTGAGCTGAAACTGATTCCTCTGGGTTTCACGGGAGGTGGAGAGGCTAGCGACCCCCACGGCCCCAGTCTCGCGAGCGAATCAATCCACTCTTTTGAAGGATCGCTCGAACATATCCTATAGAACCAGCTCCCGCCTGATTTCCGGTCCGAGCCCAGCCACCTTCACAGTTCTGTGCCCTGCTAAAAGCGCATCACGGCTCCATTTAAATGCTTTTCGGCTAGTGTGTGTTCTGTGGTATAGCGGACTGAAGAATAGGAAACGTGTTTCGCAATATTTGTATGATGCTATTTTGTTCCCATTCCGTTTTTGCTTTAGTGTAGCCCTTCCTCTACGTATTTCTGTCCCCCATCTCTCTCATTCCCTCTGTCGTCCGTATGACTTGTATCAAAGGAAAACGAATGTATGAAAGGAGGCGAAACCGCCTGTTTCAAGTGTTTGTGGTACTTCTACAACATGGTTCCACCATGCACCCTGGTTCCACCATGCACCCTGGTTCCACCATGCACCCTGGTTCCACCATGCACCCTGGTTCCACCATGCACCCTGCTTCCACCCATATAATTATGTAGCACATGCACTGCTATTGACTGTAGGGGTAAGCGGATTATGCTCGGGAAATGACCGGATTATGCTCCATCGGATGCTCGCAGGATGCTCGAGAACACAGCCAATTATGCTTATTATATTCTTCACCAAAAGACCAAAAGAACAGATAATCGTCATGAAAAAGGGACTCAGACCATGTCATGATGTGGACTGGCAGCTTTGTGGACGTACAAGACAATAATATGCAAGAGGAATACCAAATTCACAAGCAAACGCTGAACCTTTGGGCGATGTCCTATAGTGGCTGCTAAAATATTATTCCAAATCGACAGGAAGCGCTATGTATAAAAATTTGCCACTTACCCCTACTACTAGTCACTGAGCAGATCTACTGTTGATCACGGGACTCATGTCATTCTCAATCTCAAGTCTCATGCCGGCCCTATGTCATCATAGATGTTACTATGACATAACTGTGCTCCGTATTTACCGGTACATTTGTATATGTACCGGTATGTACAATTAGTTAGCGTGGCAGACACATACATAATCCTGGGAGAGATTGAGATTTGAATGTACGGACCACTGCCACAAGTCACTCGTAAGTGCACTAGTGGTAGACCTTACTGCATTACTGGGTCCTGACCTGAGTTCACGCCTAAAGGCCAGTAAGGCGATGACCAAAACCCGCGTGGTAAGGCTCGTCGGTACAAATGCCTTATTCGACATACCGGTACGCAAAGAGAAAAAAAGGCTTATGACGCTGTATCGCTGGGCTGTAACTGATTCCTCCGCGTTTCACGGGAGGTGGAGAGGCTAGCGAGTAGCGACCACCAGACCAGACTGCACGCTCCAAGTATTCGACGTACAATGTACAGTAGTTACACACAGTCTCTGCCTGTGAATGTGATCCTTTGCATAAGTACAATCATCATGTAGATCGTACCGGAGAAACAGCATAGCACGAAATAAAGCAGGCTCTTCCCTTTCCTCCAAGCTTTGTCTTCAGCAAGTCAGTTTAAGTGTTTTTTAGCACTCTTCATTCAGAAGTATCAGGCCAGCTATTCGCTTCATTTCTGTAGTAGGTAATAAGCGTGAGGACTAATCATAGCTGTAGGGTGTGCATGATGTTCCCTTCAAAATCGCGATGCTGTTGTAGCTGTACTTTTGGCAGCAATTTGTGGTACTAGAGTAGAGTGACATTCGTGGTCTGCATTAGGGGGTGGGAAGGAGGGAAGTACCAGGGAGTCGTAAAATGTAAGGGGCATTTCACGACTCCCTGGTGGGAAGCGCGGGTTTTGTTCAACAAGACATGGAAAGAAGGAAGAACACCAAAGATATTTCAGTCCAAGAGATGAACGACTCCCTGGTAGTACCGCTAGTACTAGCGTAGTCTGCTTGCGAAGACCTACACTCCAATCCTATTTCTATGCGTGAGCTTGTATGATGATTCGCACAATTATTTTGCCCGTGCAAGAGGCTATACTACCTGCATGGGGTACCACAACTGCCGCCAATTACAACGGTAAAGGAGCCAACAGTATCGCCATTGAAAGGAACATCACACCCTAGCCATGATGATAATAATTATTATTATGAAATGGCCGCGAACTTCTTGCCTCATCACAACGAGTACATAGTGTAGTTAGACATGATACCTTAGGTACTGTTACTAGTACTGACTATGACTATGGTATTGTATATAACCCAATACTAGTACACATGTGTAGTATTAGATAAACCTTTGTTATCTGGTTATAGTTCACACTTGTTGTTGGTTTGACAGCATGAACCATGGATGGTTGTAGTAAGGTCACTGTTTCCGAACACAGTGTCCTCCACCTTGTTTCATGCTGTCAAACTAATATTATATATTATAACAACTGTGAACATTGTGTAGTACTGACTACTGTCTGATGAGTGTTTCTAAGCCTATTACAGCCTGGCTAAGGTTTATAAACACGAAACTGCTCAGAGTCGGAGTAACCATGGTAAGGGAGAAAACAGATTTTCACAACCCTTTGCCTTCTGAATGTGGTCTCTTTGAAATGATCTACCTACTGTTGTTTGCTGGTGTTTTGCTTTGTGGTGTACTGTCTTGTTGTTCAGGGTAGCAGGTGAGAGAATCTAGACTAGATCTACAATAATGTAGTGTAGGAGTAGGAGAGTGGGGACTGCCCATCAAAGCATCATGCGATACCAGTATGCATGTTCTATCTGCCTGCATGTAGATGTACATGTATGATACATGTACATGTACATCTACCATTCACGGACGATTACATCTACATGTAGATCTACTATACCACTTACCAGGCAAAAGCCTGCATGGGGTTTGGCCTTTGCCAGGCTTTGGCCGTTTGGGCTACATGTACATCAGATTTTATTCTAGCACGCTACAGCCTAGAGCTATGTTGTTAGATTGACAGCATGAAACAAGGTGGAGGACACTGTGTTCGAAAACAGTGACCTTACTACAGCCATCCGCGGTTGGCAGAGCCCCGTCCCTGCGGACCATTTGAACCATAATTATGGGTGTTGACTGTTGAACCCGGTTCTGACCCTCATTATGCTAGGGGAGTTTTAGACTTCTCCTTACGTCAGTCGTGTATTCTTTGATCGCTCCTGGGTGTCGTCCTGTTAGGAGAAGTCTAAAACTCCCCTAGCATAATGAGGGTCAGAACCGGGTTCAACACCCACTATGGTTCAGATGGTCCCGACGGACCGGGGCTCTACTAACCGCGGATGGTTGTAGTAAGGTCACTGTTTTCGAACACAGTGTCCTCCACCTTGTTTCATGCTGTCAATCTGACAACATGTGTGAACTATAACCATAACCTGATAACAAAGTTTATCTAATACTAGTATTGGGTTATAATAATAATAGCCTACAGCTATGTTTCGCGAGATCAGTGGAGGAGCAGGCGCTATCCGGCGGCTCGGTGCAACTACAACTAATTACTTACAAAATACAAGACACAAGTACAATCAGAATTATTTCGCCGTTACCATGGTTACCTTGGTGTGCCCTGATCTGGTACTATGGTCACCACTGGCACTGGCACTGGCATGGTCACCAGCCTACACACGTACACAGGTGCTGAAAAGTTCAAAATACCAACCCATATCATGCGACACCGCGAAGGCGAAGAGCACGAGACCCCACAACATGAATCATAGAATGGAAGTACATGAAATACGTTTTGCTGAGAATTGGAAGCACCGTCTTCAAAGGATAGCCTGATTCAGCGCAAGGAAATAATTCGAATGGAGAATGACGACGGATCACTCGTCCTTCGCTGACCATCACACCGCCCATTCCCTTGGTAAGACGATCCAGTCTGTACTGCACTGAAATAAAAGGTGGAACGTCGTCAATCAACATGACGCTGTTTATTGGTGTACTCGTGGTGTTTGTAAATAATTATTGTCTTCTTCTTTGGACTTGCATTTGCAATCGCTAGCTAGTGCGTGTTATAGGGGCATCGAGTGAGTCCAAAGATCAACCATAGATTACTAACTTCCTTCCTAATCATGCCCCTTCTTTCAATGGTAGGGTTTCATTGAGCAATGCCTTTCACAGCAGTGTCTGTCATTGAAATGGCATTACTGTCTTGAAAGGCTTGCCGAGGGACCCAGATTTATCAGGATCATTCCACCTCTTTTACGTACACCACTGATCCGGTACCATTGTTGGAGGTCCTTTGGGACAATCAGATCTGCCAATTTCAATTTTTCCGTGCTAGGGAGATATTCCTCCAGGTTGGGTAGCCAGTAGGGAGGCAACCTGCCCTCAAAATGTAGGTGTAACAATGGGGCATGCTATGTACTTGTAAGCACGTTTGAATATGCACAAGAAAAAGTGTCACGCCAACCAGTGCACCGATAATCCGATATACATGTATGGTTAGCACACTTGCCGCAAAAGCGTGCCGACTCGGGATGTTTTCAATTCTGGTCGGGTAGTAGGGACATCAACAAAATCAGGAGATCTCCCGCCTGATAGGTGGTAGATTTGGCCTCTCTGGGCAGTGTACTGGCTGATAGGTATGGATGAACTCAACAAGGTGCTGTACTGGCTCTGAGATCTTTCCTTGAAACTCGGCACCGATAGGTTTGGAATGCTTGTGTGACGTAAGCTGCGTGAGAGCACATGATGATTGCACACATCCACATTCTCTCCTGGATGACAAAGTAATGATATTATGACTTTCTGTTCCTTTACTACGCTACACCCGCAGCTGTGCAGTATGAGGTGCGTCTCAAGGAAGACCTTGCCCGCTACCCCAGCAAGCATGGCCCATCGTCCGAGAGAATGCAGAGCTGCTTCCAGCTAATAGGTAAGCCCACTGACTGTACCTTCACCGCATGATAGCTGGCAATATCTAATGTGGAGAACACTCCTGCTTCATCTATCAGCTGCCGGGTCAGGACTTGTAGAAAAGATCATTGAAATGGAATACGGTATATTCCCCTCAAGCAAAGGTCCCTGGTTCGAGTTCTGGTGGTGACAGTAAATATTTTCTTCAGACTTTCCCTATTCCCCATTCCCTCAACTAGTGAATACGTATAGATTATAGACCGGTTAGAAGGTCTATATATCCTGTATAGACCAACTATGAGGTCTATAATCTATTTATCGTGTTCTCCACGCAATAGTTTCTCTTCATATACGACATATCCTTGTAATTTTAGTATTATACTATAGCCTTTACCGCATTGTACGACATTGCAGGATCAAGGTCATTGTTTAAACTAGGTTCAGCATCGGTAGCACAGTGGCTGGGTGGTAAGGAAGAGTGACTGAGATTCACATGGTTGTGGGTTCAGATCCCATCTTGTGTATTTCTGCTCTCTTAAAAAAATTCTTTTTCTAAGTTGGAGAGAAAATTTCTAAGTCCAAGAAATTCTAAGGAGTCAAATATAAGTAGTCAAATATATTGTGTATTTTGACTAAGCAGTCAAATACGCGATATATTTGACCGCTTAGGTATCAGGGAAATTAGTGGGGTCAAATACTAAGAAGGCGATAAGTATAGATTATAGACCGGTTAGGAGGTCTATACAGGATATATAGACCGAGTAAAAGACCGAGGTCCCCCGAGGTCTTTTACGAGGTCTATATATCCTGTATAGACCAACTATGAGGTCTATAATCTATTTATCGTGTTCTCCACGCAATAGTTTCTCTTCATATACGACATATCCTTGTAATTCTAGTATTATACTATAGCCTATACTGCATTGTACTGCATTGAAAGTCAAGATCATTGTTTAAACTAGGTTCAGCATCGGTAGCACAGTGGCTGGGTGGTAAGGAAGAGTGACTGAGATTCACAAGGTTGTGGGTTCAAATCCCATCTTGTGCATTTCTGCTTTCTTCAAAAATTTCTTTTTCTAAGTTGGAGAGAAAATTTCTAAGTCCAAGAAGTTCTAAGGAGTCAAATATAAGTAGTCAAATATATCGTGTATTTGACTTAGGCTGCGTTTACACGACAACGCTGGGGGCGAAAACGCAACGAAATCCTTTCGGATCCATGGTTCATTTACACGGTACAGGTCGTCCCCCGTTAATACGAGTCCGGTTAGTACATAAACCCCGTTAGTACATAAGAAATCTCAAGTCCCGGACGAAACGTGGTCACTTCCATACAAATTTTGTCGGTTAGTACATAATTCGTTAGTACATAAACCCCGTTAGTACATAACATTTCTCCGTACCCGCATGCCACCTACCTCAATAGTACATAATTTGTTGGTCTTTTGGCCTTCCAGTGGAGGCACGTCGTGTTCTAGTTTCTACTTGTGGACGCAATTAGCTCAGAAATCAGAGCGCACATCACAAACCGACAAAGCTCTGTTTTTTTTTTCGAGTGACTGCATGCAGGCGCGGCTGGGCATGTATCATGTAAACTGTAGAATCTTCGCTGACTACATGTACACTGTGACCGTTATAACATAATTTTTATGTTATATCGAGGGAATCAAGAATATCTCGCTCCCTAGTCATGGCAGCAAGAAACACTCAGAAAAGTTGAAAAAAGTGAAAAATTCTAGTATACAAGCAAGTTATGTACACTTTCGTTTAGTACATAAACCCCGTTAATACATAACATTTGTCAAGTCCCAGAGATTATGTATTAACGAGGGACGACCTGTACGCGGAGCAAAACGTAAAAGTTGTACACCAAAACGGAAGAAAACCAAAACGCTGGCCAAGGTGGAAGAATTTGAAAACGGAAATGTTCTGCCGGATAAATTTGGGTGTGTAAACAGTCGAAACGGTGTGCTGGCCTCGTTTTCCGTCACGTTTGTTTCGTTTTCGGCCGTTTACACGGATCCGACAATCCATAAAATTGTTTTTACAATTTTCGTCATATGACGTGTGTTGTCGTGTGCCTGTTTTCAACCATTACTTGAGTGTGATTGGTGCTTCCACGGCAACACTTGGCACATGACGAACTTTGGCGGATCCTTTGCTCTCGTGTAGACGCTTGAAAACGGTACAAACGGAGACCACCTCGGATCGGCTTTGATCGTGTAAACGTACGAAAACGAAAAAAGAAATGCGGGACTGAAAACGGAAAACTGGCCGTGCGTTGTCGTGTAAACGCAGCCTTAGGCCCTCTTCAGACTAGGTACAAAACAGCCTATAAGTCACATTTACATAGAAGTTTCCAGGACAACAACAAGAATCTGGCGGGAAGCCTAAAAAGCTGCCCAATCCTTTCAGGCAGGGTGCCAACCCTTGTACAAGGCAACTTTCCTGCATTTATCGTACTTTCACCAGGCAGTTGTACGAACTTTGTACCCGGGTACGACTGTCCGCTGCTTTCACACATCCCAGGCCCCTTGCGCAATTTCGTAGGGTCAAAGGTTGCCTGTATATTGCATGTAAAATGTGTAGTCTGAAAGCAGGCATGGAAAAATGTTGCCTTTTAGGTTTTATGTGATTTTGTACTGGATGTTCTATGTACGTAGTCTGATGAGGGCCTAAGCAGTCAAATACGCGATATATTTGACCGCTTAGGTATCAGGGAAATTAGTGGGGTCAAATACTAAGAAGGCGATAATGTATTGTAGTATCCCAACATACGATATATTCGTGTTGTGTGTCATTCTCCACGAGGAGCGCTGTGTGCTTGTTAATCTATTTATGTGTGAACGCAATACCACGTATTTACGTACGGTTTTCTGTGCAGATGATCTCCTTCCAAAGCTTGGTGTGTACACACCGGTGTTGCAGAGCTTGCGGAAAGAGCTGTTTGGTAAGTGATCTTGTGATGCCCGGCATAACCATATTACGCAGATTATGACTGCGTTGCCCAGCTTTATCTTATGATTGTGATGCCCGGCATAACCATAATACGCAGATTATGACTGCGTTGCCCAGCTTTATCTTATGATTGTGATGCCCGGCATAACCATAATACGCAGATTATGACTGCGTTGCCCAGCTTTATCTTATGATTGTGATGCCCGGCATAACCATAATACGCAGATTATGATTGCGTTGCCCAGCTTTATCTTATGATTGTGATGCCCGGCATCACCATCATCATCATGTGTCTGCCATGCCCAGCAGCATCGTAATTATAAATACAGTCAACTTCGCTAATAACGACTGCGGATATAACGACAATTCGCGAATAACGACAGGATTTCCATGCCCGGAGCAAAGTCCCATCTAACTGTCCTATTGGCGATGGTGCCATCGTGAGAATAAAGAATTCAAAACTGTTATACATATAATGATACTTCGGGTATAACGACACTTCGCGAATAAGGACACTTTTCTAATGCCCCGCCGAGTGTCGTTATACGCAAAGTTGACTGTACATGGCCCAGTATGCTACATGTAGCAACTGCTACTGCTTGCATGGAGGTTATGCGATTGCGTCATCATTTGAGATGCTTTGCATGGAGTGGCGAGATTGTGGCACCACAACTACACACGTGCTGGCTTGCCACTCCATAAAAAGTCTATGCAATAATGTCATCTGAAACGCCTCCTTCAGCTTATTATGTGAGGTGGGGCACTATAGGCAATACATACATGTATCTACTATAATAGACTGCACTGTATGATTGCACAGATACTATTCTGACGAGAGAAATCTGAGCAGTGTGTGCACCGAGCTCCATGCAATCTGAGCAGTGTGTGCACCAAGCTCCATGCAGGGCTTTCTAAATGGTGTACTAGTATGTCCCAGACTAGTGCAGTGTATGCCAGTCTTCTAAAACTAAAAGCATGGAGCATGTGATTCGTATCTGCTTGCCTCCATTTTTCTATCTTCTAACGGTTTGGGCATGCACACTACAAGTCAGTTTACTTCCTTTCTCACTGTCTGGGTTCTACAGACTAAAGCAAGGCTACCAATCTCTTGGGCAGGAGAAGATGAAGACGAGCCATTGAGTGTGGAGGCACACTTTCCAATTCTACTAGAAATTGATCCACAGTACGCTGATGTTCCTCTTTTGCCTCGGCCTTGCTTTCAGATGCGGTGTACAGTGACGAATACACTTCAACTGTCCTCGTGCGTAAGCCGCAGGTTGCAGCGGATGCGCAGCCTGCGCAGCCGCAGCTGCAGCGCATTCCCTACTTTGTCTTAGTCAATCGTCTGTTTGACCAGAGGTAAGACAACATTGCAAGCATGACCGGTAGTGATAATGCAAAACTAGATACCAAGCCAGCCAAGCGCGTGCATGCATAATGGGCTAGGGCACTCTGCATGGGCAGTTTCAGATAGAGGACACGTTTAACCAAGTGGTAGCTGCCAGTATGACTTGAAGTTACAGTTGACTGTGACAAGTACTCCCCATCCAATTGTTGCTTGGCTCATTGGAGCACATGCACCACTGAGACTGTGAGATAAACGATGCTTGTGTTATGGTGATGCTTTGCTGGACAAACCCATTTGCTACCTTCCAACGGTTCTTCTGGTGTGGACAGGAATGAAAAAGCGGAAGCACTTCAAGACCAACTGCTGAAAATGACCAACACGTATGTACCATTCTCATGCAATTCTATGACACTAGTGGACTAGGTAATAAACTTACCTCTCTCTTTCTCTCTCACTTGCTCTCTCTCTCTCTCTCTCTCTCTCTCTCTTTCTCTCTCACTTGCTCTCTCTCTCTCTCTCTCTCTCTCTCTCTCTCTCTCTCTCTCTCTCTCTCTCTCTCTCTCTCTCTCTCTCTCTCTCTCGCTTTTCTCTTGCTTACCATCACCACTTACTGTTTACCAATATGGATGATGCGGAGTACCCAGCGTTTGCTGAAGCTGCTGTGCTGTGCTGCTCTCGTTTAGGATGAGGAAGAAAGAAGATGTGATCAACGAGCTGGAGCAGGAGCACTCACGGACTCGGTAAGCACTGCTTCACATTCTGCTGGACTCCCAGGATAGTGATGACTTGAGCTTGCACACCAGGGAGTTGTATAGACCTATACAACTCCCTGGTGCACACTGCGCGACCACAATATGCAAATTCAATTTTATTCTTATCTCTTTTATAAACAAATCACTCAATCAACTTCCAGACAACTAGCTGTTTCAACCTTCCTAGGTCTCATCGGTGGAGCTCAGAGTGACCAGTCAAGCCGATTGCACTCAGACTTTTCTAATATTACCTAGTAAGAACCCTGCAAGCTCTGCATGAGAGCTTGTATGAGGGCATGGGCTTATACGCCAACTGAGATATTCATCAGTAACATTTGTGTCCTTACATTTTTAACCCATAATAGTCTAATACCATTTACTAAGTTGTATGACCATGGAGTGGCATACAAAATGTCATTTTGTATGTGTTGGGGGGGGGGGTGTACCGTTTGCTCAATGATCATGATCGTGACATGTAATCTGCAGAAACAAGATGGCAGAACTGGAAGAGCGTATGCACCAAATGAACAACACAATTCTGGAACAAAAAGACATCATCTCAAGGTAAGACCATCATCAGAGAGGCCATTGAGCTTCCTGTTTGAGTCTGAGTAACCTGGCCACTGAGCGTAGGCAGTCCAGACATTGTAGGTACATGTACTTCAGTTGCTGTAGGTGGTCCACCTGCTGTAACTGGTCTATCCAGTGTAGGTGGTCCAGTCGCTGTAGGTGGTCCAGTCGCTGTAGGTGGTCCAGTCGCTGTAGGTGCTTCATTCGCTGTAGGTGGTCCAGTCGCTGTAGATGGTCCAGCCGCTGTACGTGGTCCATGTGCAGTAGGTGGTCCACCTGCTGTAACTGGTCTATCCAGTGTAGGTGGTCCAGTCGCTGTAGGTGGTCCAGTCGCTGTAGGTGGTTCATTCGCTGTAGGTGGTCCAGTCGCTGTAGATGGTCCAGCCGCTGTACGTGGTCCATGTGCAGTAGGTGGTCCAGCTGATGCAGGTGGTCCAGCCACTGTAGGTGGCCTAGCCACTTTATGTGGTCCATACGTGGTAGGTGGTCTGATTGCTGTAGGTGGTCTGATCGCTGTAGGTGGTCCGGTCGCTGTAAGTGGTCCCTTCACTGTAGGTGGTCCGGTTGCTGTAGGTGGTCCGGTCGCTGTAGGTGGTCCGGTTGCTGTAGGTGGTCCGGTTGCTGTAGGTGGTCCGGTCACTGTATGTGGTCCTGTCGCTGTAGGTGATACGGTCGATGTAGGTGGCCCGGTGATGGTAGGTGGTGTAGCAAATGTAAGCGTTCAACCACTTCATGTAGTCCAACCACTTCAGGTAGTTCAACCAATCCAGGTGAAAAGCATTTCGCCTGTTGACAGCGTCCCTCATTCTCCCATGCTTTTAGATATTGGTAGCCAAACATGTCTGGGTATTTGGAGTGACCGCAGCTGGTATCATTAAGAAAATTCATAGAATGGGGATACATATTGCGCTATGATACGCGTCGCCTATGACACCCTCAGAATTTCCCACCTTGCTCCCCATTATGTTCTGGCTGCCCGTTTTGGATCCATCAGTTGCCTGATGATCGTAGTAATACGTGAAACTCAGAGTTGTAACAAAGCTTCCAAACTCTCTCTCGTGTAGAATGGGGATACATGTGATCTAATTGAGCACATGACTGAGAGTGCAACTGTGGTGTGGTGGGTGATGTAAAATGATCTGCAAAAAGCTGAATGCTGCTGCTTACCCTTCTCGCACATGACTGTTTGGCTAGAGACTAGTCCAGTCAAAGACCGATCAGTCGGATTGGCCTCTACTCTCCTGATACACATCCGACGCTCTCTACACCACACTACTTACAAGTACCAAGTACATCTATATGATTGTACAGTGCTGGCAACTGAAATCCAACCCCCTGAGCGGTGTGCTCACATCGCAAAGACCCGGCATGGGATTGTAACACTACGAAATAGAGGCCGCTAGAAAGTGCACGCACCGCCCAGGGCTACTAAAATAATGATATTGGCTAGCATGGTGCAATGGCGCGGTGATGACTGAGGGTACGGTTTGGATCTATGTTGTGTGTTTAGCTTGAATGCCACTGTGAAGGATCACGAGCAGCAGGAAGTCGACCTGCAAGGCGAGATGCGCAACCGCAAGCACGAATACCAGGTACGGTCGAACCCGTGCACTGACAGCTACAGACTGTGATGTTGTTTTGTTGTATTTGGTGATATGTTGTACGTGTTGTGAGGTGTCTACCGTATTTTTCCGGTTGTAAGTCGACCTTTTACGACTTAAAATAGAAGGAGAAAGGGTGGGGGTCGACTTATAACCGGGAACTATCAGAATCTTACAAAAAAATGACCTGCACTGCATGCACGAGTGCACTATGTGTACACATTTTTTCCAGTTTATTGGTCTTTTCAAGGATTGGGATGTTATAACCTCCAATAAGGAATGTTTACATGATTTGTTGATGTGTTAATAGCAGGGAGTGGTCAGTAGTGCTTCTTTGGGTGAAAACTATAAAACGCAGAATTGAGACCTCCGGATACGGGGGTCGACCTATAACCGGGGTCGACTTACAACCAGTAAAATACGGTAACTACGTTGAGGAGTGTGCATAGGACTTCACACAACGAGGCTGACACTGTTTCGCCACCGCACATTGTAGGCCGTGGAGCACCCCTCCTCCCGCCCCCCCCCCCCCCCTCAATAACAGCTATGGCTTACAGGTACATCTGTGTCCCCAGCAGAGACTCTGATTTAGCTAATTAGCTGGTCATACATGCATATAGGAATGTACTCCAAGCCATCTGACGGAAACCTCTTTTCGACCCACTCGCCAAGGGATGCAAAAGCACTGCGAACAACACCTCCATGTCTCCCCACTGCCATTCCAATACAGGCGTGTAAGACCCGGTCTGACCTTAATTCGAAAAAGTTGACCTGCCTAATTCGTGCAAAACTAGGTTGCTCGTCAATGGTGTTCATTTCCGGTCAAGTATCTCCTTTGGCCGGACCACTTGAAATCCCGATGCTACGACACTGCCATGCTCCAATGGCGAGAGTTCCCAGATTGCACACTGCCATACTACAATCACCGACATCTATGTCTCGAAGTAAAGAGTGCATCTTTCACCCCTGTGAATGCCTGTTTGGCCAACATCTCAGGAGTGTTGGATGTCGAAAGATTCAAATTTTACATTCGCTGACTTGGGATGGGCTACGTACAACGGTTCCAGAGTGGAAGTGGTCAGATCCTGAATGATAGTACATGCATGAGCTGCAGATAGTACAAGTGTGCATGCCGGCCAGATTGTGAATACGGTCTGATGCCAGAGGTTGGACACCGGTGAGCAAATCTACCAGCCACCATGGATACTTTTTCATATACTGTAAGTCGACAAATTTTCGGCCCATTCAAATTTCGGCCTCCCAGGGCTAACACACATTTCGCCTGCAACAAATTTTAGTATACCCCCCCCCCCCCCCCCCCCAGAAAACATCCACACATTTACAACGTACGCAATGGTGCCTAATATCAAAAACAATCAGTGCGACTGGTATTACAGTACTACATGTATCCAGTGTAACGGCAGGGGTCAGAGCCGTAGCACACTGGCCATTCCTATTTTTCATGTACAACTGTCTATATAGTTGAGCCACCATGTACATACGGGTGTCCAGTATCTGGTAAACTTCTAGCCTGCATGGTTGTTCTTCGGCGCCCTACAGCACTGTAGTAGTCTTCCGGGCACTTAGTTTGATGGTGTTGGCCCAAGGAGTCTGAAATGCTCCATTTGTGGTGTACAAGTAGAGGCCAAACCAAATTCTTGAACATTCAGTCCTTATCACACCTGATAGACATTTAGAGCAAATTATCCTATGTTGGGGTCCGTCCGGCTTCTTACACTGCCATCAGCAGGGAAGTGCAATGCCTGCTACTAGCGTCTGAGCCGGAGCATCCACCCTGGTTCAGATGTACAAGTATAGGTGAACAAGCGCTCGTGCAGGCCAAAGGAACCCAACCACAACACGATACGCATGCACCTGGCGCTCGTGCAGGCCAAAGGAACCCGACCACAACACGATACGCATGCACCTGGCACTCATGCAGGCCAAAGGAACCCAACCACAACACGATACGCATGCACCTGGCACTCAGGCAGGTCAAAGGAACCCAACCAAAACACGATACGCATGCACCTGGCATTCATGCAGGCCAAAGGAACCCAACCACAACACGACACGCATGCACCTGGCGCTCATGCAGGCCAAAGGAACCCAACCACAACACGATACGCATGCACCTGGCACTCATGCAGGCCAAAGGAACCCAACCACGACACGATGCGCATGCACCTGGCCCTCATGCAGGCCAAAGGAACCCAACCAAAACACGATACGCATGCACCTGGCACTCATGCAGGCGAAAGGAACCCAACCACAACACGATAAACATGCACCTGGCGCTCATGCAGGCCAAAGGAACCCAACCCGGCACAACACGATATGCATGCACCTGGCTGAAACCTGCCAACCAGGACAGGTCCGCACACCCTCTCAGCCAGGTCTGCACACCCTCTCAGCCAGGTCTGCACACCCTCTCAGACAGGTCCACATGCCCTCTGTCTCAATCGGCTCCTTGATGACTTTGCGGACCTGCCTCCGAAGCAGTGAGTGGGGCATGGTGGCAAGCGCTGCAGCGCATGCCGAACTTCCGTGGATGGAAGAAATAAGTCAGTGAAAAACTGAAATGTGTTAGACTTGGAATCTCCGTATTAATTGAAAAATAAAATAAAAGGCCAGTTTGTAAGCTGCAGCAGCATAATTTATACCGTATTGCACGGGTTGTGATTGTCCCATCCTGGTTACATAGCTAATAATCAATGGGCTGTGATTGTCCCACGACACGTGATTGCTTAGTAGTTTCTGCTGACTACATGTGCGATGTGCCTGCATGCTGCAAGCACATAGCATATCATCATTGAGAAGCTCAATTCCTATTCTTATTCCGAACGGCATACAGCGTCGGGCCTAATGATGTGGACCAATATTACATGGTTTAAATAGGTTGCCTCAAATAGTCATTGAAATGATAGGTTGCCTACTAAGAAAGACTGATATCAGTGGATCAATGCCCAATTATGGCGCTGTGCAACTGGACCTGTTATCCGAGCGTAGAATGGATGCAATGTGGAGTGCATGCGCAATATACGCATTGGCCAAGCGTGTCGCAACTAGTTGCTTCCTCTTTTCAAATGGCTAAGAGGAGAGCTGGATGGAAAGGAGGAAAAATCGGAAAATACTGTTTGCTCGGCCTGTGGTAACGCGAACGTGCAAACTTTACATTGCACTTACTCCTCCTACTAGTCCTAGTCCGTCATCATGGTCATTGCCATCCATCAACAGGGACACAGCATACACTGCTGATTTTAGCAGCGCCGGCACAGCCCCTCTGTGATGCCTCTAATCCTAAAGTACTCATCATCATGGTAGAGCACATAGAGGCCGTCCATTTATATCTAAAGACTTGAAGATGCTCGTGCGTTAGTTCTCGCCAGTATGTTCAGGCGCAGAAGAGCTATTTTATGCACTTGCTGCAACGAGTTGGAGAACTCGGTATCCGCGTCGTTGTCGATACGCGAGGCGAGCGTCTTCAGGACATGAGCGCGTGTTTGGCCACGCACAGCCACGATGAACGGATGGCCAAACTTGGCCACGTACAGGCCGTTCAGACGCTGAAACTCTGCGAATTCTTCTGGCGAGCATTTATCCAAGCCGGCACTGGCGTGCTCGGCTACGGAGTCCGGGGTCAGCTTACCAGCAATGGCCAACTTTCCAACCAGTTGTGGATACGATCGCAGCACTGCCAGACGTGTTTCCTGCCCAGCCTCGTCGACAACTTTCTTCATTCTACTAGCCAAGTGTTCGACTGACGTATCGACTTCGGACATTCCTTCCAACAGAACACTTTCCGCTACCCACTCGCCATGCTCGTATATACCGCCGAACTTGGTCATAAATTCATCGTTGCTCAGCCTACATGGTTCCAATTGGAAAGACGACATTCGCTTCATCTCTTCTTCTGTTTGCATAGTCGAGGCCAAACTACCTGTAATGCAGAGAAACCTCTTGAGAACTGCCCAACAATGGAAAAAGTGTACACAAACATTTGAAACAGCGAGTCGTTTCTATTTTTTATGTGTGACTTGCACCGTTTCAGCTGGATACATAATTACATCCAAAAGAGAGACATCGTCACATTACATGTACGTCGACAGTCGACTAGTCAGTGCAGTGCTAGCCGCCATCATGCGCCTGATTTCACAGCGCTAGCGCTAGGCCTTGCCGATGTCCAGATGTCGGCTAGCATTATTTATCATGTTTAGCGCAAAACCGGACGTTTTCCGAAAATAGCAGAATCTGCATTTTTGGAATAATTTTAGCACTAGATATTGCTGAAATAATTGGAAAATTAGCATAAACCAGGATAATTATGGAGTTGGATAGATGGGCAACACAACATTTGAATGATTTGATAAACTAGCACCCCGGTACGCGGTACTCTTCCTCCTGGCACTCGAAAAGGGAGCTACAGTACGTGTATGTGTGAGGACTTTTGGACGGCTTGCACCCCGAATCTGTTCTGTGTATTATATGCATGCTGTGTATTATATGCATGGACACCACTGCAATAATACTAATAATAATACAGTACTGTGATTTTAAGGTGGCAGACTACCCAAAAATTCGCTGAAAAATCGAATTTGTAAATTCATATTGAGTGCTACGTCAGTTGAAAGAGCATGAATAGCTGCAAATTCTCTGAAAATTGTGTCCCTATCTGACCAGCCGTTCAAGAGTTATGGCCGAAAATGTGCCCTTGCAAGGAAAGATTTTTTTGTTGCATGCTGTCATTTGTTGGCAGCACTGTATTTGAATGTGAGCAGACCGTGTGCAACTTGTCGTATCATGGAAACACGCGAAAGTGTGCAGAATTTTGCCCCAAGTCCAAAAAAGTCCAAAAAATCACGTTAAAAAACCATGTATTGGGCTGCACGGCGGCGGGCTTCGCCCGCCGCCGTGCAGCAGGACTTTTGCCAGCACCCTCGTGACGTTGCAGATATGTGGCTTGATTATTGTAGTTGACGTTGATTTAGTGA